TCCAAATTTTGCATGTGCTTTCATCATATGTCGTACCAGAAGTCTATTGATTTTGGATGAATTATGTCGTAAAAGCGAGTTATTAATTAATTAGTGATGGGACACAAGGTGTCCTTATGGAGTAAGAGCGCTGTTTTGGGGGTACCCTAACATTCGATCGATAAGTCTTCGGTCTCTGACCGATATTCTCGTTATACTATTATTAAGGTAAGACAATTATTAATAGTGTATATAAGCCGTTTCTGAAGCTATAAAGCAGGGGTGGCCAACCTGCTTTCTAACGCGATCGACTAAAATCTTTAAAATAGCTCGCGATCGACTGTTCAGTAATAAGGTCATAAACAAAAATGAATAAATACTGAATACGCAGATAACTGCACACACGCATACAAAAAATCCCACCGCTGCCAATAAGCTCGTCTCTGCGGGCGCATTTTCAATGAAATTGCCACAAAAATTGGCATTTTTTATATTTATTTATTCGTTCAATTTGTTATTTTGATAATGTAATTGTACCCGGAGTAAATGTTTTATCATTTATTTCAGATTTAGTCAAAACATACAATTCAGATCTAGGGCCTGTGCAATTTTTAGTCGGAAGTGTTTCCAATTTCTCAAAAAACCTTAATTGTAAAATATCCATGCATTATCCTAACAGCGAATATTGAATATTCTCAAACCATAAATGTTACATCATGACTGCTCAAACTTCCGTATCTAATTTATAGTTTTTTCAAGTCCGATTCTTTGCTCGCTTGAAATTAGAAAAAAATCATCATACTATTCTTAGGCAAGTAAGGCAATAACTTTCGCATACTGCAGAAGGCATTGTGGGATCGTTTTTCAGTCAAGACACGTGATATTTAGCACATTCATTCCTAAACCTTGGCAGCGGCAAAACTTGAAATGCTTTATCGGACATCCCAGACTCAAATAGTGTATGTCATGTATATCGTATTTTGAGAAGGTATAGTACTGTATTCCTCCTGTTTTAAAACACACAACACTGGTTATGACAATTTTTGGGGTATGGTATTAAATTCACTCAACGTCAGACGCGATCGACTACTCGAGATGTGGCGATCGACGTGTTGGCCACCCCTGCTATAAAGGATATAGGTCTACACACTTATATACAATCAAATGTTGCAAATAATGCAATCAAAATGATTAACCCTAGAGAACCCCACGTAACACCCCTGTAACACGATCCAAACCCAGGCCCGCGGCCCACATGTGGCCCGCGCCGCATTTGCGCGAGGGTAAACAAAAAAATCGCATTTGGTGTTGTTTCGTAATACTGTACAAATAACCAGCAACATCTTTTGATATATTGTCACATCACTAATGAACGACACTGAATTGACTAGTGTTAAGGCTAGCTAAGGCAACTAGCAAAGTTGAATAATGGATTATTTGGCTAATCTAAATTGTTGACTGGTTTTCTATTTTTTGGACGGGAATGCTAACAATATTGGCTATTCGGCTATGCCTGATAACTAAATTATTCATGTAATGGCCGAACAACATAATTTCTGGCGGGTGTTTTTTTGCAACCAGCCTAAACAGTAAAAATGCTGCCTATATGTCAAAAAATTTCGTAATTCCCCTTTAAAATTTGATAAAATTCGATAATCAAACAATCTGCAATTATTTTGTAAACATGAGTTTGAAAAGAAAGCTGACCAATTCAAGCAGATGCTTGACTGGATATGGGAGGGAAAAAATACCACAATGCTTACTTAATATGTCTGTAAGTTGTGTCGGTGACAATCTAAAACGACATTTTCTCCGTTATAAAGAGTTTGAAATCTTACACTAAATGTAGATATAGTAAGATTTTGCACGTTTTAGTGAGTTTTCGGTGGTTTTAGCTTGATAAATTACAAATAATGATCAATGTGTTTGGACAATAAAAATGTTTGTTTTGTATTGCAACGTTCACCTATTCTTGGCAATATTGTGGCCCGCAAACAATACAAAAATAATAGTGTGTAATAGTCAACCTGGAACTACCCTGTTACAGATCATAGAATCCCTAGGGCCCAATGTTACTCAACAGTACAGCTTTCGTGCACCGATCGGCCGGTTAGGTGGCGCTCCAGAGGATTTTTTATTATGGTGTGTGGGATTTTTGACAAGATCCTGAAAAGCCTGGAAACATCGGGTCATGAATGAAGAACGCCGATTGGTGTCAAATAAATGGTGAGTTGGCTTCTTAGTTACTTTGATATAGATTACTAAGTTGAATGAATTGAGAATATAGAATGAATACTGACTCGACATACGAAGGTCTACACTTGATGTATCACCAGTGTCACATCGGGATTCAAGTGCAGTTTCAAGTTTTCTGTGGCGTCTGCAGCTGCCGCAAAACCATGGCGGTATTTCCATACCATGGCCGCTACGGCCAAACCTATGGCGACTGACTTTTTAGTTGCCACACACCAACCGTTACCGCGGCAGCAAATTGAAAACCAATGGCAGGTAAAATTTTGCTGCCGTAACCACGGCAGGTGGTCCGTAAAGACAGGACTGTCCCTTATGGTGATAAATATTGGGGAAGTTGAGACGTTTTTCTTATGGATACAGTTTTGATCGATTTGGAGTTAGGGTTTAAGTAGATATAATTCCGCACGATTATTTGAAAACGGGTACATTTATTTGTGAATATACCGATAATACTGATTACTGGATAATGAATAGCGCTATAAAACCACAGCAAGAGCTGCCGCGGTTCGTTCGTGGCAGGAGAGGCCATGAAGTGGTAAGAACTGCGCCTCTCGGGATTAGTCTTACAAATGAAGTAATAGAATCTGCATGCGACACAAAAACTGCACACATTCACATTATAGCTTTAAACTGCATTTTTTCTTGCTTGGTCAGGCAACTAACCATATCTATTTTTTTCTAAAACATGGCATCGATTGGGTCAAGCAGCTCGCGAGAACTGAAATCGCAAGAGTGTACAATGCTAATATTATTCTTGTCATTTTGAACTGTGATGACAATGATGCTGGAGGCACTAGTAGTGGGTCAGATAGTGAATACGATATCAAAAAAAAAGAAAACAACGGCTCCCAGGTTCATAATATTTTCAAATAATGATTACCTAGTTTTTTTTTCCCAAAGAGGCATTATACAACTGCTTACGATCAATTATCCCTCACATAGACACCAAAAATATTTTCTGACAAATATCTTTCTCGCTCATTGATCGAAACAATAAATAATGATGTTCTCTGTTTTCATTTCGTGATATTATATTTAACATGTTGAGTCCGAAAGTTCTGACGACGACGTTCCTTTGACGAGTTACGAATGCAAAATCAAAAACAAAGCCAAATAGAAAATGCAACCGACCGAAACGAGATATATTTATATTATTCTGAATACTTCGTTAGCAAAATATTGGGACCTCCTGCAGTATGCGCACCAAGATGGCGCACAACTCAGGTTGTGTACCAGGTTAGAATTCAGGTTGTGCGACATCTTGGTGCGCATACTTCAGGAGTACCAAATATTGTTCATTTTCTTAGTAAACAGAGATGGAGATGAATTATGGGCTGTTTATTCTAAGTGACACTACAGGAAAATTCCAGAAATTTTGCATGTTGTTAGATGCAATATATTTTTACATTTTCAGCTACATGTTTTGTTTCATTGTCCAACCAGTTGCTTTATTGAATATGGAAAAAAGTACACAAAAGTTATACACAAGACTTACTTAGTGGATTTAAAAAAAATATAGTAAAATATAGCGAGACACTACAAGACGGCAAATCCACCATGGATTAACGTTACATAGGGTTGTGCTATGAATTTTTGCGATGGTACAGCAGGAGCCCATAATATTTCCTGGTGCTGCTCAAGTTACCTAATGTTACACTGTAAATCCATGCCAATAATGTGCATATTGTATGTGACACTACAGGACATTTTAGACAACAACAAAATTACAATAATTGCTATGGTCATGAGCTGAGGACAGAAAAAAATGTAATTTCGCCAAACCCTGGTCCCGACAGTATTGTTAAAATCAGTCAAAGTTTAGTGACGCGTGGATCATTTAGAGGTCTGTAAAACAACCGATATTCGCAAAATACAATTCAGGTATTCATGATTTTAGCAATGAAATAATGACACTTCTACGATACCAACTATGGTTACTATGCCAACAGTGGCATAGTCGAACTGGTATCAAAAACTGCGTGTTTCATGCGTCTTAGTTCATAAAAATACCAACGGTTTGGACGGTTCCTGGCTACTAGACTAATATGCGGTTTCCAGCTTATATTATCATCGATCGTGACCCCCAAATATTTTATACTGTTGGTTCGCTCAATTATTTACTGCCTAAAACGAGTTTGAAGTGAGTACTATTTTCCATCCATAAATTTTTAAAGATAATTTATTTGCCTTTAACTAAATATCGACATATTGAATTTCATTTTTCACTGTTCTCAAGTTCGGACAAAGGGGAGGCGGACCTCAACAGGAAAGTATCATCTGCAAATAGCGTTGAATAAAAGGAAGACGCAGCTGGTAGATCATTAATATAACATAAAAATAGATAATTGCGGAACCCTGTAAAAATCCGCATTTGATAAAGCCTATTTCAGAAATGTATTCCCCATTCTGGACATATTGCCGAAGATCGCTTAAATACAACGCCTACAATATCGCTTTACAATGATATCATAGTAACATACCTCATTTTCTCAATGTAGCGCACTTTCACTTGAATTATTCGAAGCGATCGCTATATCTGGATTACCAAACTACTGTGATATTAGTGGCTGGATCCCCATTGTCGGCTAATAACCGCGAATTTATCTTATACAATATACACATATCGTTCCCACCAATCTTTACCGAAAAACATTGTTACTGTATTTCTGCCAAAACATTTGATCTCTCTCTACAATAACATCCCTTCCCTTGGTATCGCCGCCATTTTTTTTCAAAATTTCGAAGCCTAGTCCAAATTCTTCAAAGAGTGCCAGTACTTAAGTTTTATTTCAATGGATACCTGGAGGTTACAACAATTTGGCAAGCACCATAAAGCTAAAAAGAACACAATGCCCTATGTTACGCAATTGGCATCCACAACATGGGTGGTTTTAGATTACACTCAAATAGAAATGGGAAAAAAATTACTGTGACAAAATAATTTAACATACATTTCAATGAACGTAAAAAGTCCTCCGGTCAGACATATTGATTATATCTTGCTTTGCATTGTTTGAGAGCATCATTGAATCCCTCACACAAGGTTATATCCGGGTTATTATGAGCACACTGGAGAAATTGATCAAGCTCATAACCACAAACATTCTGCTGCTGGTTATATTGTTGTGGCTGCTGCTGAGGTGGTGGTTCTTGATATGTAACATCGGACCCACTGTCTCTACTCCCGCCTCCAAACAAGGCACTTGAAACTCCATGTCCTACCACACTTCCAATAGCAACACCTCCAGCTGTAGCAGCCATTTGTCCCATTAATCCTGGCCCCTGTGCGGCCGGCGGTGCCATTTGTGTAGGTGGCGGATGGGCTGGTGCCCGAGTTTGTTGTGGAGGTGGTGGACTGGGTGCTCTTCTTCTTTCAGGCGCTGGTCTTGGAGATGGCGACCGACCAGCACTTCTTCTACCGCCACGTGGCATTTTATCTTTAAACTGTTTCTAACACTAATAAGTTTATTTAAAGAAATATTAACCTAAAAAGTACAGGAACAAAGTCAGAACATAAGTCATAAAGAATAACTATTGAAAAGTAAATAAGCAGTCAAGATGGCGAACAAATACATTTTATTCATATATACCCTTGTTCACAAACATAATTTCACCATACAAGTCTAAAGATATGATAAAATAGTTTTGGCCTTTTGGACACGATCATGAATTTTTGAAGTTTGGACATCTTTAACGAATTTTTGACAGCTACATATTGGTAAAATTTGTTCGATCTATGTCATGTACGATCAAATGGGTGTGCTTGCAGGAAAAAAGTATTTCATTTACCAAAAATTGTATTTTGGAATGGGGAATCTTGAGTGCATTTCAGAAATATGTACACCATTATTATATTCTATATTAAACTTTCAGTAATAAATTGAGCAAAATAATTTAGAAATAAAAACAATTTCATATAAAATTGTTCATGTATGTACGTAGTTCCAAGAGGCAGTCAAAATAGTTGCAGTAAATGATAGACTTCATATATACATAACATAATATATAATGCGAAAAAATATTCTGATAGGCGATATATAGATGAAAATTTTATTTACATATTGGCATTGCACGAAAAAACTAATCTAAATTAAAAAGAAAGGCATGCAATAGGAGCACTTGGGTTGGGACTATTGTGAAAATACAGATGTTAGGCCACATATAGTATAAATATACGTTTCTGAAAGGTCTCATAACAGTCATTGTTGAGTAGCAATTCAAATTACATCTGAAAAATAAATATACTCTACTGTTGGTTGATAGTATTTATTCACCATTTACTAAATTAAAAAATAGGTGACACACCTGAAGAATCCAGGACTTAATGATAAAGGAAGTAACTTGAAGGTAGCAGAATGTACAACAATGTAAGGTCTTTATTGCACTTAATTTCTCTGATAATTTTACAAACCAAAATGATCACTACAATTAGCAAACAAAAAAATAGAAAAGGTTCAATGGAACGGAAATCAAGTTCCACTACTACAATTCTAAAAAAGTCTAAGTCTTTACTTTGTGCATTGCAATCTGATGTGAAAATAATCAACAATGTATTTATATCCATAATTTCATGGTTTCTCCACAAATCTGGATTGCATTGTGATTTGTCATGGAATGAGGACTAATCTATAGAATTAGAAATATAAAAAGAGGAAGTGGTTTTGTTTGATATTGATTCTAACACATCTGCTGAAAAAATGAATTGTTATGTGCCAAACATGACAAAATCAAAATATTGATCAACCATACCATGACACCGATATAGCAAAAGAAATAATTCTGCAATCACAGAGCAATTTTGACACGTAACATTTATAATCATAATATTACACAATTTCGTACATCATGTTCTTGTTACCATTGCACTATCAATTTAATATTCTGTTACTAAAACATAACTGTATGTCAGAACATGATTAGTCACCAAGTTTTCAAAACTTTTGAGCTGGAAACAAAATACTACTAGTGCACATTATTGGTCTTTGTTCAGCGCACAGATTAATTGAAGTTAGATTGGCTTCATGGGAAAAATTTTTAAAATTGAATCAAAAAATTATTGTTTTCCTGATTATCCCTTCGAAGATATCAGACTCGCAGATAAATTGAAAAATATTCCCAAACGTAACAATTAAATTTTCCTTTTAATCTTATTATATTCGTTGATGAAACAAAAATATGCAACTGAAAAGGATAATATGGTCTATTCATGCTGTTAAACTTGCCTAAAATCAATAATATTAGTCATGAATCAAGCTTTTTTTGCTCATTTCCTCGCAGTATATATATGCAGGCGATTATAGATCAGAATGGAGTGCTCCTTCATATTGGGGCAATGCAAATAAAAATAAATTCTCTAAGTGTCTAAATAAAATTACATACACCAATGCTAAAGCATAAGAACATGTGTCACCATTTGATGATTATCAGGTCAAGGGAAGTCATTAGGAAGTCGTGTTGGATAGTTAACAATAGTTCTAATCCTTACAGTAGACCTGAAATGTTTCACACTAACGGGTAGATTCTAGATTAGTGCTTCGTTTCTATGAAAAAAATGACATTCACAAAAAATAGCTCATATTTCACACAATTTACAACTCATTCAAAATGACTGTATGTGCCTTTTGTAATTAAATCACAGTTATAAACAGATATTAACAAAATATATAGTGAAAATATATAACTTGGAAATCTATTTATTATATAATATCATTAAATATCTCATTTGTCAATTTGCCATCAATGATTAGGAATTGATTGATATCTTCAAAAAGCATATATCTAATGATATAATATACCATGGTGCTCACAGGTTACATAGTTATAATAAAAATATGGATTCCAAACATGATTACTAACTACCTCACAAACAAAGTGTCTTCACCATCATCATTATCTGAAGTGTCATTGCCGTTTAAAATAACTCTGTAAGACTCTGAGGATTTGGATCCACAAACAATCCACCTTGAAGAAAAAAGGTCCTCTATCTCTTCCAGTGGCTTTCCTTTTGTTTCAGGAAGAAATAAAAAAATAAAGATAAATCCCAGGAAAGCGAATCCAGCATATAACAAAAATGCACCTTGATAAGTCAGCATTTGTGACACATGTAGAAATGTTAATGAAATGAGAACATTGAAAACCCAATTAGTGCCAGTGCTCATTGCATTTCCAGCACTTCGGGCCCATTGTGGATATATTTCCGAATTAACAGTCCATGGCATTGGTCCCATGCCAGGTGCAAAACACATGAGATAAAATATCATGCCTATCAAAGCAAGCCAGGAATATTTGGTAGGGCAATAATTTTGAGCAAAATAGGGTCCATATTTCCCAGCTGTACTTATATTGCCCTCTGCACATCGTCCAATCAATGAAAATCGAGGATCATCAGCAGAGGGTGTGCAAGTAGACTCAGTGACGCCAGTACTATTAGTAAATTCCATGTAACAGAAGCCACATTTGTCATCAAGCATACATGACTCACAAGTAGAATGGAGGAAACAGCCTTCTGTATCCTGTGATATCGCAGTTGAATTTAACGTTACAGACGGTGTATGAATCGCTGGGAGTAAAAATGCAAGAGATAACAATAACAGGGCGAATAATACACCAGCCATGCTAAGTAATGAAAGGGTTCGTCGTCCCAAGCGTTCTACAAGCCAAATTCCAATGACTGTTCCAAAAAAGTTCATTGAGGCTACACCAGCCGCGAGCCATATCACGACTGTATCATCCTTCACTCCTGACATCTGGATTATCGTTGCAGAATAATACATTACAGTATTTATTCCAACTAGCTGTTGAAACATTTGCATACCACATCCAACAAATAAAGCGCGTCTCACACTGGTTTCAGTGAATAATCGACAAAATCGTACACTTTTTTGTTCTTCATATGTTCGTTTCAAAGCTTCCATTTCGTGTTGCACCTTCAATCCATTTCCTAATATCTTTTTGAGTATTTGGGCTGCCTTGTTTAATTTCCCTTTTTCAATTAACCACCTTGGGCTTTCAGGCAAAAATAAGAATCCAACAAACTGAATTGCTGCCGGTATAGCTGCCAGTCCAAGCATAAATCTCCAACCATTCTCCTTGTCATTGCTAAATAAACCATCGACACAGCTTGCAATGACTTGTCCTCCAGTTATAAATAGTACATTAATTGTCACTAGTTTGCCTCTGATTTCAGGAGGTGACGACTCGGCAATATACATAGGGATTGTCATTGAAGATAGACCAATAGCAGCGCCAACTGTGGCACGCCCAACTAACAGCATAACTTTATCTTTTGCAATTGCCATTAGCACAGAACCCAGAGCAAATATTACACTTGAAAGAAGTATGACGCCTTTTCTACCCCAAATATTATTTAAAGGACTTCCAATTAAGGCAAAAATTGCTGCAAAACCGACTGCAACTGCTACAATTAATTCTTGCCATGTGTTGTCTAAATCAAATTCTTCTTTCAATAAAATCATTGCCCCACTGACAACTCCAGTGTCATAGCCAAACAAAAAGCCACCAATTGCAGCTAATGATGTCAGCAAATATAGAAATCCTCGTCTCCCTGGCTCTTCCTCTTCATTCCTGTATATCATAACTGTGTCTTCCTCAGCATCAACACCATTGCTGTGCGTATTCTTTCCATGGTCCATTTTTTCATTCAAAATTTGTTTATCTAGGACATAAGTTTATTCATATTTTCCCTTAATATGCAGTGATTTCAGGCTGTAAAAATTGAGAAAATCTAGTTGATTCTTACAAATTGAATAGCAAGGTATAAAGAAGTAGAAGAAAAATTATAAAGCTTGAAATATTCTTAGAATAACCCAACTTCTATTGTAGAATGTGATCAAACTTTACACAAGTTCAACACTGCATGAAATGTCAGAATGTGGCTTATCACACTAAGACCAGAATACATGAAGCTAAATTTAAGCATTTCTGAAGAATAAAACCAAGCTGAATAAAATAAACACAGTTTTGATTTATCACTTTGATTACAGAATGATATCAATATACTGATATGACAAATCTGGCTATGTATCAACAGTACAACAGGCATCATGACATTCTTTATGCAAGCGAAATTAGCTTAACCGTTCCTGAGGCCTTATACAGTCATTGAATTTTGAAACTTCTCAAGATTATTTGGTTTCAAGGGGTCAGGTTCGCTAATACAGTAATACCAGAATACTGTAATATGATGGAAGCTTTATTATGAAATGTATTTACAATTATTGAGGGACAACAATGTCCAGACGTCTCCCAAAAGAGGGGTGTCTGTCTGATCATTGGTAAAATGGGTTTCTCTGGAACGAGACAATGTCACCTGATCTGTATAGTGTGCCGTACTATACTGGGTTGCATTGAAATTATTTCTCATGTTGGTCACAAATTTAGCCATAGATATAGTCTAATCCAAACCTCTTGTTCCCCTGTGTATATTTATTTAATATATATATTTTCAATGTTTGCGTATAGATTCATTATTATAGTTTACAGTCGATTAATATTAGTACCGGTAGTGCATCTGAGTTTTGATCTATAACTGATGTAGTTATCAATTTACCTGTTCAGGATATATTGTGATTAGCTACCGGTAAAGCTCCAATCCTGCAATCCCTAACACCCACTCATAACATTGATAGGCATCTTCAAATTTGAATCTTATTCTTACAAGCGAATATGGTCAGATGGTGGGAGTTGACATCGATGACATACAGACATATGGCTCTATCGCTCCTTCCTGTCAGCCTGTCCATACCAAAACAAATTTTTTTTTCTGCAGTTACTTTTTTACTGCATTGATGACTGTTTTTTGGTTGAGAAAACAATAAGTCTCTCTCAGATGTCTCAGTATCTACAAATCTATTTTTTGTCGATGGGTAACTATCTTACTTCAGTAGGCTACTTGCCATATTACAGCATAAGTAAACATTACATCATTAGGACTGCCAGACGAACATATGCTAATACCGGTAGTCAATACAGCTAAAACGGACAAAGACAAATGACATGACTAAGGACGAATCACGCATTACTCGGCATGGCGAAATCAAAGTGAGCTAAATCACATTGATCAAATTTTGTTTTTTTATAGATTTTAGGGCCGGAATAAAATAAGAATTATTGTTTTATGTTCGTTTTCAAATTGGATCATCATTATCAATCATTTATTTGAATTTTTTGTTTTTTAATATCATGGTTTTAATTACCCCTAGTTGAAAAGATCATATTATTACATAAAAAAAAGTTATAAAAAATCATATAATACCATTTTATTAATCAAATTTATATACATATTACATCTTTGTCCATTTGAAGTGCAGTATAGTTGATCCCAAAGTGCTATAGTCTCTTTGGTTGATCCGTGTCATCATTTATATTGGACACATCAGTGGACATAACGATCGTTTCAATATTATGTTGTTGTTGTCGGTAATACGTTTTTAAAGTCGCTTTTCTCTTTGATTACTGGACTAATTGCTTTGAAATTTTCAGTAGTCAAAAGTGGATTTTTTTCTAGAAGGCTATTACTTTCATTCGTTTTTAAATTTTGTATGAATTCTATGAAATTTGATTTTTCGTCCAAAATTTCGCTGTATTATTTTTATCCACGGGAACACGGACTTTAGTCCGCTTGATGACTGGCTGTACGTTTTGATTCTGCAAAATTCTTGCTACTGGAAATCCGGAACTTTCTTGTTTATTCACCAATATATTACCATTAATAATTAATTTGCATGGAAAAAATAAAATTGATCAAAGTTAGCAAGAAATGAAGTTTTCCCATGCCTATTTTATGTTGTTGGAAGAAAGGTTTTTAAATCCCAATATTATTGTGCAAGCTTTCGTCGAACCCCACCCTTAAACAATTTAAACCAGGGGAGCAACCAAAACTCTTTAAGAGGATAGCTAATTTTGAGCACTTTATAGAAAATGAGTCTTCTGGAGTACGAATTTTTTGCGTCATTGTTGGACCTCTGTTGTTTTTTAGGGTTATATTGACATGCGTTACCAAATGGTATCAACTAGGGAAGACACGCGATTTGGATCCAGAACCCAGTACGGTAGCAGTGAGATTCTAATTTTGACGAAAATTGATGAGCGAGCAGTATTGCAGCTCGACTGGAAACGTGATATGTTGCGTTTCTATTAGGTATGGCGTCGCGGAGGATTCTACTCGAGTCCGTGACTTATTATTCAGATTCGCCGAATCTGGCAAATACCGGACACGCCCTGCCCTTAGTAGCCTACCATACCAACTCCTTGGAGGTACCACTGGTAAAAGTGAATAGTCACTTTGCTACTGGTTATACCGTAAATATATTCTACTACGGTTATACAACATAAATTGCAACAAGAGCACATAGTCATCCGACCAAGTCCTTTCACAAAAACTTCTTTTAATCGGTAAAAATTCTTCGGGCAAACTTTATGAATCATCATGATCATCGTGGTGCAACGACTAACATACATTGTGGTAGTATACCGGTACACCCGTCGAAATAACAATTGTTGTGTCACAATTGAGTCAGAAGTAGGGGATTGTTGGCAAAAATATAGGTAGATATTGTGCGACTGGAAAGGGGATGATTGTCAAAGTAAAAATTGTATAATTTCAGATCCGAAAGGATACGGTATGCCCTAGCTATAAATAAACGTTCAAGGTTCTGGATCATTCATTTCTCATCATTGTTTTTTTGTTTGTTACAGACATATAGATACGGTATGACTCTTCCTTCCCCATCAAACAGTCTAGGCATGGGAACGAAATCGAACTCAACCAATCACGAAGGCACAGTTCTTACCGCTTCACGGCAGCTCCTGCCACGCCGTTTCCTGCCATGGTTTTATGGCGCTATTACCGGTATATTTACAAAGTCATGTACAATATTTTAGTTTACCATGCGTAATTATATATACCTAAACCTAACCCCAAACTGTATCCATAAGAAAAACGTTCCAACTTGCCCAATATTCATCACCATCAGGGGCAGCCCTGCTATTACAGTCGACATGCCATGGTTACGGCAACAAAATTGGTGGTATTCGATTTGCTGCTGTTCTCGCTGTTGGTTTGTGGCAGCTAAAAGTCTAACTGCACTTGTCACATCATGTGGAGATAATTATGTGTGAGAGGATTGCTGGAATCTCTCCCACCATCAACTCCATGCATTCTAAACAAGTAACTGGCTAACAGACCAGACGAGAGGTCGTGGTTACATTTTCTGTACTAATGCTAACCCTATAAAAAGACTCGTGTTGGCATATGCCTTTTAATAACACTACATTTCTACAAAAATAAAACAAATAACGCATATACAAAAATAAACACAAGAAAATTACAATGTTCGACAAAGGACTTATGTCACCATTGGTCAAGAAATGTGCATGTACAAGCTATCTGAAGCTCGAAAGATGGTTTATTAGGTAGATCACAATACCGTGCGAAACATACACTAATACTCTATAAGGATTACCAACACAACTAACGCTGTTCAAAAAAATCGGTCCGAACAAAATACAATTTTTTTTAAGTATTCATAAAATTAGAATAAATATTTTTTTGACATTTGTCACACGACAGGATTTTGATGTAAATAAACCAATTTAGGTTGTTCGATCCAAATTAACTGTAAAAACTTAATTTTGGCATACCAATCAAATATGAACAAGCTTTTGTATTAGACAGTGTTTAACATTTACTAATTATGTAAAATGTCTGTAATTAGTATGTACTATAAGTTGCGCCAATTATAATTTAGTTTTACAGAATCTGAATTCATTTAGTACATAAGCATTGCATGTATCAAAATTAGACATCATTTTTATGTCTGATAAATATCAACACGGTTGGGATTCTGAATAAAACATTTTGTATACCGCATGATGCAAATATCTAATCATCAGGTTCACCCATTTTTTTTCGTACATCGAAACATTTTTATCCAAAGCTGGAATGAGTCAGTGGTGAAAGTAAAAAATATACGACTACAGTGTTAAATATAGAACAAAGCAACAAATGATAACAAAATGCAAATAAAATATTGACCAAACATAGGCAGCATATTGAACTAGGGAGAGCCATTATGCTGGAAGCTGTAGAATGATATCATCTGTCATATTATTCAGTTGAATAGCATATCGTGTGAACTTGTAACAACTCACGTCTGAATAATCTTGACAGATCAATATGTCAACAAACTCATTTTAAATGTTTAAAATATTCTGTGTAATCTGATGAATGGTACAAAAATAACAAAACATTTTCATTACTTGAATTCCTAAAATACAAATACTTATTTGAATGGTAAATTTTGTTCCCTACTTCCAATGCCTAAAAATGTTTTAACAATATGATTGACAATGTTCTACAATGAATTACCAGTACAAACGAAAACACAAAGCAGGGCTGTAACTGTCAAACGAAACATTTGAGATTACGATTAGCACCTTTAAATATAAAATCTTACGAATTTCGTTCACAATGATAAGTTTTAAGTAAAAAAACAGTGTTTTAGTTTTCCAGCCTTGAACGAAATTAGGTACGGTATGTTTGGTCGCTGCTCGCTCCAGTGCGAAGGTACTGATAATATACGTCTGATCGGGAAAAATGCTGACAGAAAAGGGATTCAAAAACATTTTTCTGACGATGAAATAGGTTAGTCATAACAAGTGAGGCACATTTGGTAGCAATCCAGAACACTAAAATTAAAAAATAAGCTGTACATTATATTAACCACACAATTCATAAAATGCCTAGATCAAATAGAAAAAGAACGCAAGATATTATTACAGGATAACTAATAACTACACATGACTGTGGGCCAAGATTGTAAGCAAAGTGGCTCCTGGACAACTTTTGTACGAATAATAATTACAAAACAAAATCGATTAGTATGTTTCAATATTTCTTCAGTTCCAATTCGCGAAGCAGTGCGAAAATAATTGTATTATTTTGAAAGAAAATCATAAACAATTTACTTCGAACTTAATTTCAATTATTGAAGAAAAATTCATCTAGATGAATTGATAGAATCTTGTGCACAGCAAATTTTTCATTTAGAATTAAGCAAGTCTCAACAGATCTACCAATGGCTTATTAGCCCAAGGCAGGCATGGAACATGTTTGTTGAAGGTATGTATACAGGAGACACTATTCTGTTTTGTTGTCAGATTCATCAGAATCAGGTTGATTTTCTTTGTTATCATTTTCAATGTTTTGCTCCTCCTGTATGTTTTTGACAGAGATTCCACCATCATTCTTTGGTGCTACATCATCAGCATCATGTTGCATTGAAGTTGGAACATCTTGTTCTTGGTATTCATATTCTTCTCCTGAACCTTCCTCTTCTTCATCCTCACCAGATCCATAGCTTGTTAACGGTTTTGTTTCACTAACAGACAGGTCAACTGTAACCGGACTTTTCGTTGAAGAATCCTTCATGTTTGATTTATCTTGCAATTCAGAATCTGGAACGTCAACACCATTGCTGACTTCTGAATCCTCCCCGTTTTGGTCTTCATCATCATTTACAGCTTCCTCCTGGCTGTTAGATTCTTCTTCCTCATCTTCAACCTGTCCATCCCCATCTTGATCAATTTTTATTGTTGGCACTCCAGATAGTTTTGCCACATCTTGTTTACTTTTATCCAAATCCTGCATCATGTAAAAGAATGCCAATTCATTAAAAAGAACTTCTGAAAGGCCCACAACTAAATCTTCACCACATGAGCCAATCCTTTGTCCTAGAAATTTCTTGAAAGAATCATCCAGAATTGAGTTAAGTTGACCGGAGAAGAAACTCTCCATGCTTACTTTATCCACGTCATCTCCCTCACCATTTTCCGGAAACCCGTTTGCCAACCCACGATTTTCATCCATCCCTTTTCCAACACATTGTACAATTTTACTTTGCAACACATTCACCAATTTTTTGTCCAATGTTTTATCATGATTCGCTTTGAGAAGTGGAATTACTTCAGATACAATATGCTTGATTCGAGCTCTAAGTAGTTTAGTATTGAGATGTGGGACTTCATTTTTATCTGGCTTTTTTATTGCACCAATTGGACCCTGCTCAGCTAAAACTCTTTTACCAATATTAGCAGAGCTCAGAATTTCTTGCTTCATACGTTCCATCTCCCTCATATGTCTCAAAGCGGCATCGAGATGAATCACTGTACTTCCTAAATCATCAGCAGCAAATGGATTTGTTTCGTTACCTTCACCTGAAGGTGTGGACAACTCACTTGCACTTGAAACTTTGAGAGACAAGTCATAACCAGTGTCAGCTGATGCTCTTGCTTTCAATTTAGCGTACAACTCATCTTCACTGGTAGCGGCACTTTCACTAGGGGTATTCTCCGAAAATGACCCCTTTTTAGGGTTCCTCTTTTTGCTTTTAAAACTAGTGGGTGAATGTTTGGCTTTGTCATTTTTTCTTGGACTAGATGGAATATAACCTTTCATTACATCCTGTAATACATATAAAGCATGTTGCCGAAGATAGTCCGTGTCAAGCTGCTGGAGGCTATGAAATAACTCAATCAAAAAATGAGGACGTGCTTCATTCTGTGAAATTAAAATTGCCGCTTCAGAATAGATGCTATCTCTCAATGCTTCAAATAAATCGTTGTCGGCATCAACACTGGCTTCACTTTGTTCTTGCTGCACAGAAGCATACATTTGTGTTTCACTGAATTGAAAGCCACCACCATCACCCATGAAAGGTGCATTTGCGAGCATTGTTTCTTTGCTTGGTACCTCAGCCTGTGTTGGTTTCAGAGCGAAAGAATCTTGCTGATTTTGATAAAGTGAAGTCAATGGTTCAGAAACGTAGTCCAAAGTTGCCAGTGGCGTTCTTGTGGCTTGGGCTGCTGTAGGTTTTCCACTGCTTTCTGGGTTCTTTGTTAGACCATACATCTGCCAATAAAGCTCCTTGGTTTCTTTCAAGATAGATGCAAATTGTGCTGAGCAGTTGTCAAGTTGGTAGATCAAGAAATCTGGCGATATTCCATAACACAAATTACCAGATACAGAGGTTTGTTGAAGATTTAGTGTATTCAGGAGCAACTGTGATAAAGATTTTTGGTCTTCAAGCAACAAATGCATTGTTGCATTTGAGCTTAATAAATCTTCTTGTAGTTTTCCAATATCCCCTTTCAATGAAGTGGAATCCATTGCTGGGGTTATAGGCTGCTGTGTAATGTTACGTCGTCTTCGTGTGGGTGGCCTAAAATCAATTTCATGTTCTTTTTTGTAGTCAAGTTGGGTAAATGCATCTCTAAATGTAGCAGGAACCATAGAATTGTTCTGATTTTGATTTGTTGGTTTAGAAAGCGCATTTCCTCTCTGTCGCAGCTCAAAAGCATTTCGGAATTGTGTGTTATTGTTTTCAGCAAGTCTGCTGTCATCCACATTTTCATCATCTGAGCTTTCGTTGCTGCTCCCGGAGCTAGAACTCCCCCAAGTGGCAGTAGTTTTCTCTGTTGTCGCACCCAAACTTTTCTGATTTCTGATTAAATCAATTAGACGTCTTGTATCCGGTTCGCTTAAACCAAAAAGTCTATCACTTTGGCTTGTTTCTAGATTATTGGGTTCAGAATCTGAAACTCCACGACTTTCATCTGGAGATCCAAGATTTGATCTTATACTCGCATTAGTATCATTGTATTCCTCTCCATTTTCTTCTTCTTCATCATCATCATCATCATCCTCTTTCATTTCATTTGTCATATTCATCAATTCTTCTAGCTCTCTTCTCCTCTCTCTTAACTCCTCTAACAGAAGTTGATGTCTTCTCATTTCCCCCCACAATCGTTCTGAAGATTCTTGACCCTCATCCTTCTGAGGACTTTTTGCTTGTACGCTTTTCATTTTTTTTCTAGCACCACTATTCTGGATTCTGTACGGGCTTTTCCTTGCACTTTCCATTTGACTCTGGCAAGGACTGGGGTATCGTGCTGGATTAGGACTGGCATTCGCAGTCTTCTTTCTGTTTGAAGAGCGTCTTTTAGAACATCCCTTAGCCGGACTCTCTTCCTGCTCATCAGCATATTGGATAACACTCACTTCTGGCAACACAGATTGATAATTTTCATCTTCTTGTTGCTCAATCTCATCTTCAGCACCAATAGAGTTTGGGAAAACAGGTTCAAGGGTCACCACTGGTGGTCTGTTAAACTTTCCAGGTTCTGATGACATCATGTTTATTAAAGTTTTTAATTCATTCAACTCACCTAATGCCATTTTGACCTGCTGATTTTTGTCGGGTATATCTTTAGATGGACTGTCGCCCCCACCATTCACAGATTCAGCGGACTTAATTGTCCCTACTAATTTTTGTAGTTCGTCTAATCTAGTTTTCGCAGTTTTCAGCTTGGAGAGCTTTTCCTCCATTGATGTTTCAGCATTCATTTCCATACTTGCTAATTGTTGTTGCAACACAAGAACACGTTTCTGTCTTTCCCTCAATTCTTGTAGCTGTTTCTGTTGATCAATCATTCTTTTTAATAATTCTTGTTCATTTTCCAATTCCTACAAACCAAATTTAAAATCATTAGAATAAAAATATTGCCAACTTTTGAACAGCATTGTAATCTAACCTATATTTAAGTAGTGTTTCATTGTTCACAAGTCCCTACAAATTTATAACAAATTTTTATGCAAAATATGTTGAAATACTCGGTATCAAGTTTAAATGAATATAAGCATTGTCAAAAGAGGCGAAAAGTAAGAAATCAATAAATTGATGGAAAACAAAAAATTGAAAAAGAAATAAACCATTAGTATACGTAAGTTAATGCTCATGTCGACACCAACATGAAGTCTAAATCACCAAATTTAAAGTTGATTAGCCTTAATTAAGATGACCTGTAAGGTCATATAAAAAGTTGGGTGTGCACCCCAATAAAAATCGTTTCACTTAAAACTGTATAAGTAAGATTGATAAGAATAAAATCATACATCGAATAAATTGTATAACGGTAAATATTGCACCTGTAAATCAGAAACGGAATTATCCACTTGTGCTTGTGGAGATCTCTCATCTTCAAATGTCAAACTTTTCCTTAGCTCTTGATTGCCACTATTGGATCTTCTGGGATAATTGTTTTTGATTCGAGAGTATGTTCGTGTTGACATTGCGCTGTTCGATTTAGGTCCAGTTGATGTCAACATACTCCTGGTTCTATCAGTGTACGTACTCTTCGGAAAACCATTATATCGCTTGTAACTGCCAGGCGAGCCTTTTGTCGCCATTTCTCAGTTCCTAGTTTTAGGCACTGTTGTTAAATATGAAAAATTAAATATCATATCAGCATATGAAAAATTGATTCACTTCGTTGATTGTAATAAAAGCAGTTCATACGGGAGGTAGACAATTTGACTATATACAGATATAGCAAATATACACGACATGAACTGGTAACTGAATGAAATGTCTTTGCTCTATCTTGGACAAAATGCCGTATATGACAGTCTGGCATGGCTACTCAACTAGAGGGCCATGGTCCGAATCGGGAATCTTTCGAGTAGGCTATTCAATATCGACCGCAGCTGCTTCTTGAATTTGAATGCTTGGTTTTTTTTATTTCATAATCGTGATGTAATGCATTTTTGCGCTAAACCACTGAGGAAAAATTGTCATGGCGATATAGGTTTCTCAGAGCATCGACTCACTTGTTTACTCCCCTAGCATTGCCTAATTAGCAAGATGTCAATGGTGGCGTAAAACTGAAGTTTTAGCGGCTGCTTGGATACATTTTTCACAGATTTTTAGATAAGGTCAGAAGGTAAACATTAAGATTGTTTCTGTGGCTTTGCATGCTATTTGTCAGTTTTTAGTTGATTGGCAGACAAAATTGGTAGGCAAAAACGAATAAATGCTGAAATGTGATTTCCAAGATTAACAACAAATTGACAAATAACTTTGCTATTGGACACGAAGTCAACTAATAAATCGCTTTGCTAAAATTCATGTAAACGTTGTGGTTTTTCTTAATATTATTTGAAAAACCTTCTTCTCCGCAACTTAGATATTCCAAATTTTCAGTCTTGAAAATAATTCTAGTCGAAGGTATAAGTTAACGTTATATATGAATAAAGTGCTATGGGGTTTTCTTTGCTCAGTTATGCAACTGAAGCCTTGCCATACATACAGTCATACCGACACTGAAGCTCGATATCAGGATATTGAAAATGGCTCTTGCAGTCTTGTATTTGTCAAACGATGCATTTGAAATTTAGTTCGCATACCGGTACCGTAGTTAGTATATACTGATATAGCCTATATATCCTGGAATGACCAGACCTCAGTAATTTTTAGATTTTGTGTACGGACCTTTGGTGAAAATAGTTAAGTAACCATGGTACCGTACCGTGTCGGCACCGGTAAACTGGTAAATGTTGACCTGTACCATTCTCGTATAAGTTACGTTTACAAAGATGTTTGTATTCAAAAATTGTACCGCATTCTATTTATTACAAAAAACTAACCTCTGATACCTAGCTTTTAAAGTGAAGGTATAAAATTGCGAGCGTGGTTCGTAAAAAGAGCTGAGGAACACAAAAAATTGCAAAATTTGGCATTTCAAATTCCGCCATTTCCAACAGACTGACTTCTTTCTTGTGGCCGGGCGCCTTTCGTTTATACTAAATATCGGCCAGACAGACCGATCATTTTCCGAGATAAGTTAATAACCAAAGTGGATATAAGGGTGTTAGTAAACCCCGTGTTTAGAAAATGCGCATATTTCGTACCGGAACGTCCATAAAAGTATGAAAATATTACCAATTAGGTCATAAAAAGTTCCACGTTTCCCAGATTCGATTAGTGTGATTTCACGACCGGCTCTTACTTTACCGACAGGTGACCGACGTACACTATTCTTGATGAAACAAACATTCAGCAGTGATTTTAGCATATTTGGGTTTTTTTCTGAATTTGAGCCCATGCCACTTACGGTATCTAAATTATAATTTCATAAACATGCTAAATCCGTGCTATACAGCTCCAGGCCACTTCCTTTAAAACAAAAAGATCACCTACTAAATTATTCTCGGAATAGATTCTTTTTTTCTACTTCTATTCCCATTAACTCACAATACTCAAATGAACATCACTCCGTTTGGTCCATTATTATATTATATTGGTGCCAATCAATAAAACTGCACACTCAAAACAAAGTATTAATCGCACATTGTCAGAAACAACATTCTTGCATAAAATGACAAATTATAAAGCATTCAGCTACAACACAGAATATAACATTATCACAGGAGGATACGGAAGACAAAAGAGTAATTCTTTTTGGGTGCCATGCAACATTAGAAATACCAAAAGAGAAGCGAATAAGCTTGACTGCACAAATAAATTGCTTCCATTGAGCATTGTTTAGAATTCACAGCTGCAAAAAATATAAACATAACACAGCACTTCAAAAAGTATACATAGTCAAGTGTTAATATTAGGCAGAACACTGTACTTCAGATCATAAAAAACATTCAAATTTTCTAATAAATGCGAAAGCCGACTTCAAAATCAGAATACTACTGTGTCAGTACAACCTCACAGGAACTATCAGAAAGGCAAGAAAAGATGGTAAACACAAACAATTAGTAAATTCAAGTGAAAGTAAATTACTTTAAAATCAAAGTAATGTCAGAAAATTAAATAAATAAAAATCAATGGAAAGAGAATTATGTGTTTGCCATTCACAGCAATCAAAATATCTCTGCCACCACTCAGAATGTCCATGACTGCAATGAAACTTTCGTTACATGAAGGGTATTGATATTCAAACAAAAAAGGGGAGTAAGATAACAACTAGAAAGTCTGCTGTAAGAAAATTTTGTAAGCTAATACTAAGCTAATAGTAACGTTTTATCAGGTTTAAAATACAACAAATGGATAGAATTTTGTTTTTTCAATCATACTTTTCAGGTTGTCACTGAACTGGAGGTCCTCAGCCAGAGGAGTAGGATTTTCAGATAATGAGCATGAACAAGGCTGAAATTAGGTCGGTTTAATTCAGATGAAGAGGTGCTGTGAGATTGTGTACAAGTTAATACAAACAAACAAATTCTGGATTGTTCCGGTGCCAAAATGCATCCCTTACTGAATATTACTGCTTGCTTTCAAAAAGTGTGATCTTAAATATGTCTGAAGAAAAAAAATATCAGAAACCACTGCAATGTACCATTTCCTTCAAAGAAAACCAAATGCTTGCATATTTTATAGAGAATCGGTCTATCATTATCGAGAAAAGCCAGCAAAGGTAAAAAAAAATCATCAATTTGCACAGTGAATTAAAAACATTCGCATGATTCATATATTTAATCTCTCATCTGTGATTTTCATTCTTTTTTCAATTTTTTCTGAGAACCTTCTGAATGTAAATGGTGCTGGAGAATGGCTGATGCACGTACAGCTAACCAATGCGGACACCACCTGATTATCAGCATCTAGAATATAGAAATACAAATAGCAACCTTACGAGGCAACAAATGAAAGAATTTAAATGACAAAATATTCAAGCTTACATCACAAAGTTATTGAACACAGAGTGTTAGTAGAAAATGGAAGTGTCTGGTTGTAAGCTACTTGTTTTCAATTATTTTTCTTTCAAATTAGCTGATATCGAAAATGGGCCAATGTGACAATTTTACTTTTGTATTCAGATATTCAAACATTCCTTTTTTCTATATAATTAGTTTGAATATGTAGACGAATATCTAATACTACTATGGTGCATAGCTGTCTGGTGAATGGAACCCAGTAAAGACTTCTTTCTGAGCCTCCTAATTTAAAAGACGGTTAAAGAGAGTCCCATAGATAACAGACATAACTGTAAAACTATCAACTGACCTGTATAGTGTGTGGATAATGTCCAGTGCCATGTCTTACTTTTCCAAATGATTTCAATGCATTCTTGACATATATTTTAGCATTAGGACTTGTTGAGCTCAGCAATGATGAAAATTTTGACATTCTGGTTGATATATACATCGGTTCTAAGGATTGTATATGAATATTATGTTGCTTCAATTCCATACCAAGTGACTTTGAAAAATGACTGACAAATGCCTGAAAAATATTTTTTTTGTTAGAATTCATTATATTTCTGTTATAATAACTCAAAATATAAACCTGAATCTCCCAGATATACCAATATTACCAAAAATTCTAAAACAAAATTTTGGCAATATTTGAACATATTTCTTTACAAAAAAAATATAAATTAATGACATCATATATGAAACCACCATACAATATTATATTGCTTCAAATTTCAAATTAAAAATTGTGAAGGATCACATTGACAATGAAATGACTATTGCATATATTAATTGTCTGAGTTTACTTACTACATCAAGCATTGGTTTGTCCACACAAAATGAAAAATGATCAAAATAACCCAAGATTATATTTCCATTTTTTGGATGTGATGGTATAGTACACGCAACCTAACGTTTGCATCCCAAGTTAAGGATAAAGTGTATTCTTGTAACCCCATTCCAACTTCATTACACACATAATATTAAAGAAAATTGTGACTGCTGAGCCTGGTTTAGAAAAATAGTGTTGTTACTACTAAATAAAAAATTTACCTTCGAAGCAGAATATAGTGTAATAAGAGGGACGGGAAGCCATCCTGCTCCAGATGAAAGATTTACTATCAATCCCTTTCTTCTCGCTATCATAGATGGTACAATAGCATGAGTTAACATAACTAATCCAGTCATGTTTACTTGTGTTATTGCATATAGACGTTCTGGATCAACCTGTATATTAAAATAATATATAAGTCATATATTGGCCATACTGTGCGCATCTTGGTTGAAACAAATAGACATGCATCGGCACTTAACAATTTTCAAAGTCTGTCATAATATTTTACATAATATGCTTGAAATTGAAAAAATGAGGCAAAAAAAATGCCTGCTATTAACATAAACAAGGTTAAAAATGATAGAAACATGAACTGTAATTATATGTAAAGTTTGTTCTATAAAAAATACTTCGCAAAAATGAACATTCATGTTGCATGGATGGGTATACCAATATATTCATATTAATAACTATTGAAACCTTGGTAGTTAAGCCTATGCATTGATATTACAATGTACTAACCTCTGTAAAATACATTGGATGATCATAATGAACTCCAGCATTATTTATTAATATCCCAATTTCTTTATCTTTGAGAATGTCTGTGATTCCTGCATACTGGTCAGCAGATGCAGTGCAAAAATCATGAATTATAGTGAAAGTATGAACACCATATCGCTTTTCAAGATACCTGGAAAAATTTGGTAATACCATTTATTAATCATTAAATTTCCCTCCATATTTCAGTTTTAGTTACTATTTTATGCCTGAACAAATTTCCACAAATGTTTCTTCCACAATTTTTATGACAGGAGAAAATTAGACATTGCAGTGAAAATTACAAAATGAATGATCTCAGATTGATAGCAGGGTAAATAAAGTGTCAAAGAAGAACTATATGACCGCAAATGGACAAATTGAAAGCACCACTATCTTGTGCTGTAAACATTGATAAAAATTAACCTTGATTCTTTAGCACAAAGTTCTGAATTTCTTCCAATCAACACAATGTTGACCCCTCGTTCAGCTAGTTGTCTACAGAACTGCTTCCCAATCCCTGATGTACAACCTAAAGATGTAAGTGATATTCAATTTATTTTATATAAATAACATTGTTTTTAAGGTTTACTTAAAAGCAAAGAAGCACATTCAAAAGTATCTTTACCACTATTGTGTTTGTAGCCAAAAATATAATGAAAGCCAAACTAGGCTATGTCTAAATTTAATGATAAATAATGCAGCTCAACTTTACAGCAAATCAAGGTTGACCTACTGACCTAATACACAAATATACGTAATCGCACAAAAACAGTTATAAAATTCAGCCCCATATCAGAAATATATTGCCATTGCCATACCATCTATGCCATACCAGAAATATATTGCAATATTGAGTTGAGTAATTTAGTTCTGTGAGATTGAATTTTCTGTTAGAAAGTACAGAAGTAAGGTATGACAGCACAGCAGTATGATGTGACCCTACACAAGCTAATCAGTACACATGTACAAGTATGGTACCTACCTGTTACAACTGCCCATCTTCCATAATGTTTGACAAAATTTCTTGCCGAGAAAACTGCTCGTCTATAGTGCACAAAGGTGTGATAGCCAAACTCCGCAGTGAATCTCAAAGCATACCACGCTCCTACGATTGCCACAATATCAATAAAGTAATCCCAGTTTTCCCGTCCAACTTGGGCTATTTGATTGATTAAAAAACTGAAAGAATCTACGGCCGCCATCGTCTGATCGAATGTTAATGCCACAATCCAGACAGCAACATGCGCCGCAAATGACGCTCGTATGCTATACTACACAAATGATACGATGTGGATACGCTTACGCTTAGCACGATTGTGTGTCAAAACTGCGGGAGAAAATATCGTTAATCAGCAAAACAGAGCTGCAAAGGGATCGCGGATACTTTTACTCATGTATCTATTAAAACGATTATATATTCACGTTTGTTCAAGTTAGAACGAATTTATTCAGTGGTTTCGAAGGTGCGTTCTGGCGTTGAATGGAAGCTGGCACCGAAATGGGGGGATGCGGGCCACTGAGAATAAATAATTGTGTGTTATGCCAAGCAATCGTGGTACAGTATGCTGTGTTCGGGCTTTCATTAAAAATCATCACTAGATATCAAAAACTAATTCGGTACATTCACGGTATTCCAGATTTATACAGTAAAAACAATTTGTTGCCATTAGGATACAAATACGTAGGTCATGAAAACTAGTAACTTTACGCAACTCTTTCTTGGGGGAAGTCCACGGATTACTAGATTTCAAGTGGTTTGATGTGTCCGGGTTTCATTAAAAATCATCACTAGATGTTACAAACTAAGTTGGAACATTCACGTTATTCCAGAGTTATACAGTACAAGACAAATATTTCGTTGCCATTAGGATAAAAATAGGTCATGAAAACTAGTAACTTTACACACCTGTTCCCTGATGGCCATATCAGCTACTGCCATAGCAATGTTATTCACGTGAAATGAAGCGTGTTGACATTAAATCCGTTTTCGCAAATTATAAATAAAGCAGACATATGAGCAAATTATATTCACAAGAATCTCAGCAGATTTTCCGCTAGCCTATTTTGTACATGTTCGTGTTCAGGATCGATATGAAATTTGCTTGTTTTTCGGGCATTTGTGTTATTTGTTTTGTTCGTTTCATCGAGTGTTGGAGTTTTCAGAATGACGAAATAAATTGTATTGAAATGGTCACATAATATGGATATGTCATGATGCGAGAATAATTTGTCAAATTTGGTCATAATTCGTTAACTACTGCGCCGTTAGTGAAAGCGGGTCGCAGTGAATGAGAAAAATCCTTACCTCCGGTTATCAAGTTTGGCAAAATCTTGTAGGCTCTACCAAGCCTAAAAATTCTAGTGCGCAGGCTCCTGGTCTCATTGTCAATAGATTACGCTAATTACTGATATATATATTCTACCACTCTAGCAATTTTGTATTACGTAAATAGTTCCAACTTTAAAATAGTAACAAAAATAAAGGAAATATACGTTTTTATAAAACTTTGCAGTGGAACAATAAGAACAAGATGAGTAAGACGGTAATTTTTTAGTTTTATTGAGTATACAAATTATTTTGGAATATTATAGTTGAAGGGAGCAACCTGCTGCCCAAATGACGCTACTCCGTGCTGTTACAAAAAAAATCGAACAAAAAATATGAACTAATGTGATATAATATCGAGATTATTCATGTCAAGAGAAAGTATAAAAGCCGTTAGCTTTATTGATTGTTTTTCTTAACTTTATGAATATATTTTACGTTAAATTTGTTTGGTGTGTTTGGTATATACAAATCACATTTTACAAAAACTTAGGGAAATAAGACAAATCAATACCTACCTATGATTTACGTAACTATACTTCACTTATTATGTCTGTCAAATTTCTCACAGGATAAATTTTCGTCAGACTACTCAGGTGGTGGTTATCTGGGATACAACTTCAAAGCAACGCGTTTTCTTGAGTCAGGTTCGGGCGGATTTCGTAAACAGAACAGAGGAGTATTGACAGATGATTGTCAAAAATATTATGGAGTTGTTCGTACTCAGAACGAACAGCATAATGGCAAGGTGAATTAAACCTTTTCTGCAAGTTATACATTTTTATGGTAGGGTTTATCAATGCAGTTATCGTACACCGCAGCATTTTAAGTAAGCTCGCTAAGCTCGCATATATATATTTATTTAAAACAAATAAGAATCTTTTTCTGCATATATATATCGTCACGCTAATAACCGAATTGCGTAAGTCATTTTGGCGATTTTGAGTTTTTTATAAATATGTATTTATGTAATGCTGCGCACCTGTCTGTTAACTCAGATTTTATTTTAAGAATTCCGAAACCCATAAAATAGGAGATTTTGTATGATATGCACATTTGTGCAATTGTTTCATCATAATGAATTATCATTGTTCCCGCGGGACTATTGTGACGTCACAAAGGCAAAATAACCTCTGCGAAGTATTTTCGAGTTTTTGCATTTCGGATTCTAGCTTAGCGCGTATTAATTGGAATTTATACTACAGTATAGGAAGGCGTGCACTTGTGATATTCACTGTCCGAGTCCACTTCGCCTTGGTTGGCTTTTATATTGGGTGCATTGGTGTTTTATTCTTTATATTTAATCTTAGTCTTATTTCGGTGAGTGTGCAGAACGTGTTATATTGATGAAATATATATTTTTAAACATAAAAAATAATGTAATTGAAACTGATTAGCTATTTTGGGGATACGACATTGTAGATACTGAGAATTATATTCGTTTTTTGAATGTTTAGTTTTCAGGACTGGTGCATATATATAGTAAAGTTGCAAAATTGCGTATGTCCCCAAGTCATAGACACATTTCTGCCTAAGTCACAGTGCGCCATTATGACGTCACTTAACTACGTCATACAAATTAACCTAAATCCGGTTACGATCGAAAAATTGAACCATGGCAAATTATTGACTCTCAATGGCATAACAATATCATTAGGAAGTTTTTCTCAAAACTGCTAAAAATGACTTACGCAATTCGGTTATTAGCGTGACGATATGTGAGTTTGTAATAATACAATTTTCACATAACTTGTGTTACTACCATACAATTCCCCCCAAAGTAGAATTTGGAAAATTAGCTAACATGACTTTGAAGTCATGAAAACGATAAAATGACCAAACATATTAAAGTTATGGGGCTGGAATGTCTTTACGACTATACAAGTATATGAAATGCCTTCCAATGTTATTTCTATATATATTTGTTTTTAGGTGATGGAAGATATGTGTGAAAAAGCTATCAATTTGTACAATGAACTAATGGAAGATGGGTTGAAAGTATGTCATTTTAGAATCGTTTGTTTAGTTTTGTCTCATCATCACGTTCCATTTTTGTAGATTCTGAGTCGAATCCATGGGATTTGGCAACATCGCTGGTTGCAGATCTTAGACTCGAACTGCGCGCAAGCATTTTCTCTGGAACGTAGACTATGACAGGCTTCCGTTCAAACCTTAGAGATTCCAGTGCTTGCAATAACTAAATCTGTGGGTGTTCCGTGGTCTTGGCAGTTTATCTTATTTTGACTGATGTTGGTAATTATCTTATGAATTCTCACAAAGCGCTCGACTAACACCTTTTTCTAGAGAAGCATCGAATTTGTATTACGCAGTGTCATTCAAATTGTAATGAAATGATTTACTACAGGTGCGTTACCGAGACGATGGAACGATGGACGAGAAAGAAGTTCAATCTTTACATGAAAGTGCCCAACAAAAAGCAATGGAGAAATTTCAAACTATTGCTAAAATTGGACCAGAGCAACTATGGAAAGATTACCGAGATCGTATTCTGGAAAAGTGTAAAATGAGGTTGGATGTAGTCAACGCTGAAAATGAAGAGAGAAATAAACAGGTTTAATTTTTGTTTGTTTCAGCTTGTAAACACAGAAAGTCATAGAATTATAAATATATATATATAAACTTAGTAAATATTTTTATCTTAATTAAAACACGGTCTTGTGTTTTTTGTTTCATACGTCAGACGTGCACCACAGCAAAATGGGCAAGTCGTACATGGGCAACGCTGATAATTTTATAAACTTTCCGTGGATAGGCTACATTTTCCGCGGTCTAGTTTCTTGCAAAATATATATTACATTACCGCGGAATCAGTTTTTATTTCATTAATTTCCAATTTTTAATTCTTCTTATTTTCAGCTTATTCAAAAAGCAAAGGAAAAATCTTTCATCAAATACAAGGCATACGTGGACGCAATAATTAAGGTGAGTTAAAGAACTATGTATCTGTTATTATAACGCTGGTTGGAAATCTTCAACGTAAACTTCTAATTTAGAAAACGGTAATCTAACCTTGCCTACAAGTGCTGAGTACACGCATACGTACGACTAACAAGAGAAACAGCACTAGTAACATAACAAATAGAGATTTACCATTTCAAAATATCCCATGTTCATATTTTCGTTCAGTAGAGTGGCATAATAAATATTTATGCCCGCGGGACACAGATTAAAAATTCATATTTCAAATAATTATTCCGACTATGATTTGGACGCCTGCTGTTTTTTCATTCACTCTATAGTGAAATAGTTTACCCAAACGAACCGAATTTTTTAAATCATGCATGGAGATTGTTAATTATTACGGAAGAAGGAATATATATAATCAAAAAGCGTAATTCATTAGTCAATCGAAGTAATTTCGCATCGAATACAAATGGGTATATCTTCTCAACTGTTGACAACCTTCAAGGTACGTCGAGAGATTGGGGAATCGGTTGCCGAGCATGAATTGAAGCGGGTCCACGAGGAAGCTATGCGAGCTGCTATGGGAACCTTCGACGCTGCGTCGTTAATCGGACTCAACAATGCTCCTGTTAATAATAAAGAACAGGATTCTAGAGCTATTGAATGGTGGAATTGAAGCGAAACGATTAGCATTTGGTACAGCATGGTTATTAATAATAATAACAATGACTGAATTCTCGACCTTTGTCCCTGACGTGCTCAACTTTACAATCGTTAATGAATTATTTCAAGCGGAATTATCCAATGTGCCTCTAACCCTGACATGGGCCAAATCCGGCCCGTTTGGTAATTCAATTTGGCCCGCCTAATGCCGCCACAACCAAATTTAGATGTTTTAGCAAAAAATTAGACCAAAGAATTTGTTAAGATTGCGATTAATTTTAGTTTTGGCACGACTCTTATTGTTTTTCACTTTTGCAACACTGTAAATATTGTTCATAAAATGTAACTTTTACGTCACACTTACATGGCCTGCAAGTCTAAATGGGAAAAATTTTGCCCACCCCTGCTCTAACCTCTGAACGCATAGTGAAAAAACATTCTACCACATTTAACGATTACCGCGATTTATTCAAAATGTGGCCAAACCTATGCTTGGCATATTGAATACCAAATTTCTGGTGACATACATTTATTCAGAAATACCAGTTAATTTACCGATATTTTTACAGTGTAAATATTTTATCCCTTTGCTGGTCAATTTTCACCAACTAAAAAAATCAAACCAGAAAATGTATAATAAATATTATTTATTGTATATTGAACTACTGCTAATCGATGGTAAAGTAATAACATCAGATGTAGATTTCCTTCGGATTATTCGAACACCTATGGATGAACTGTAATTGCTCGTCTCATCACTCAAACATTTATCTAGTTTCTTGAATTCCTTGTCTTTCATCTCATTTTCGAATTTCTCCTTTGCACTGGGCTTCCGATATAACTGACTAGATTGCTGTTTCCGAGGAGGCGCTGAATGTAAACATAAGCTAACTCCTTAATACTTTAGCCTTGAATTATTTCTTTGAAAAATGATTTTTTTTCCCTCTTTTATAAAAATTTAACAGTATTGTATAATTTCTGGTCTGGTTCAAGATCTAACCAAAACACAACTTATTTGTTCATTTACATTCCCATCACACGACGATTGCTGTATATAAGTTTACAGTACATTTTAAGTACATTTAAGAAGGACAATTTTCGAACTATAAAATCAACTAACGCACGCATTTTCGGTCTCATTTGTACTTTCTAAGTTCTAACTGCTATATTTTACCCGCAACACTTTTTCTTCTTATGCTTTCTCTTCTCACAGTCGATTTCGTTGCTGGCCTTGATTTTGGTAGGAAATGATTTGCAGGAGCCTGAACCGCCTGAATCTGTAATTAACATCAAATCTTATAAAACACATAGTCGCAATAATTATCAAGTGTAAGAAGAGCAATATCACTCGGATTAATATTGGCGATTAGGCAATAGCTTTTGGGATTTATTTTTAAGAAACAGTATTTGTTTTATATATGATGTCGTGGACATGGACGAACCCCATAACTAATCTGGATTTGGAATGATGTGACACCAACACCTTAAACGCAGAGCGCTGAAATATAGTACAATATCTTTGGTGAAACGTTATTTTCACCGATCTTTTCGTTAAACTCGGTGCACAGGTAATGCCGTTACCGATGCGCGACCTTCCTTGAGCATCGTTCTCGTGTTATATTGTGAAATGATTAGGAGTTGTTGGTGACGTTAATTTTAAATGAGACTGAAACTTGTTGAATTTTCAATTTAGGCTGTCAAGAAAACGCAAATTTTTATCAAAAATGTTATCTGAAACATATTACCGTATAGGATAATTTACCTCAAAAGCATTGCTAGTCCCTGCGGTTATTTTCGGAATAATTTCATTCTGGTCGAAGGAATCAAATGGTAGTCGATATCTAAAGAAAAGTTCGTATTTCATCAGGTAAATGTCAACAACTGGGAATCTTGGTGATCGAAGGATTTCGTCAGGTTACAATATCTCCGATCACGCAAAGCCGCCGATTTTAAACTCATTCAAACTTTTTGAGCCGCGCCCCCTTTTTAGAATTTGTCAGGTCTCGTGCCCCCACCTCCAAAATACCTAGCTAACAATAAACTACAAATAACGGATAGCAAGGCGAAAGTATGTTTTATTCAAAAACATGTTGTAAATGATTGGATGGAACGTAAATATCCAAAATGAGGCGGGCAATATTAAATCTAACAAAAAATTTTATTTTTAATTAACTTCACGGTTCACGCACCCTAAAAAATTGTCTACGCCCCATTGTGTGGCGCGCCCCGTCGTTTTCGAACCACTGCTCATTTTAAATATCATTTTAAATATATTGATCTTATCGTGGGGTTATATTCAGAGTAAGATTTTTGAATGGAAAAACCTTTCCGAAACGATGGCACTTTTTTTCCGTATGCCGCGTAAAAGAAAAATAAACGAAATCATACTGTTTCATCATTTCGTTTTCATCCAAATTATTTTCACCGTCATTTCGTTCAATGACTCCAGGTAAAATTCCACCAGTTATTGTTGAACGTCGAGAACGTATGAATGAACCAAGATCAGACAGCGAGGTGGATGGTGGCCTCTCTAGAGATGGGATGTATACAATAAAAAGTAATTAATCACACTAGCTTTGTATTACATTTTGTCAAATTGCGATATTATTATAATGGAATATGTGCTCTAAAAGCAATTTTTCTCCCGGCATAGAATGCTCATATAGGAAAAAATTACAGACCGGTTCGTATTCGTGCCTGGGTTAGTTATGCAAGAGAAAAGTAATGCTCAAATAGATTGACAAAAAAGTCAAGTGTCAGATTTGGCCACCGCGATATCAGCGAATTTCCAGCCAAAAATAGCAATTCCTCAATGTGTCATCCAAAAGTACTGGAAAGTTGTAATCAATTGGTCAATTAGTTGTGGAAAAATCGATTTATTCACAAGAACAACAACCCAACAACAATTTCACCAAAGTCAATAAATAAACTGTGAGATACCCATAAATTGCTGTTGTTTTTCTATAATCTTCCTACTAATCGAGTGCTTTTAAAAGGGGTTCATTTATTGGGTTAGCGTGAGTTATGGGATTTCTGAAGGTTTGGATGAAAGTTTCTCTTTGAGTGGAATATGCCAAATATGTTTCAATTTCCGAATATGTAGTGTCCAACGTCGGTATATATGACTTTCACGCATTTATAGATGATTTTTAAGACAGAATAAATTTGACTGAGCAATCAGCAATACTTTATTGAAGCTATAACATAAACTCAAAGATTAATCAACTTACCGGTCATAGAATGTCTTCTGATAGAATTTTGAAGGTGTTTTCTAGCTTTGTGCAAAACATCGTGCACATCGAGTTGAAGCGTTTTAGGAACTTCTGGAGAAATCTGAGAAACATTAACAAAATAAAATTTGGTCAAAGTGGCTTTAAATAATCAACACTTATTTGCAAAGATATTGACCATACTAATTAATTACATTCCCCATTTTCATTCAACAACGCCACCTAATTGACAGCAAAATGATTTCACATTACCTGTGTTAACATGCTGCTTCGTGACGGATGACTAGTATTCTTCTCGTTAGACGATACTATCCAGGCAGATGACTTGCGTATTGGTAAAGGTGATTGAACAACGAGAGATAATCGCCTATTAAAAATTATGAAGCATTAAAAGTTCTAGCAATATGATTGTCATTGGGCAGCTCATAAATGCTCATAATGCTATAATAATTGATGTGTGTGCTCAAAGATTAGAAGAGACTAAACAGTTATAACTTCTATTCTACTATTTGCTTAGCCGAACATTCCAAGTAACGTTTTTTAAAAACATAAGAAATTTTGTTAGATGAAAACGATATAGAATTCATCGATCCTATCAATACTTACAATGTGGACACGGTAATGACTAGGAATTTTTTTCTCTGTTGCTTCATTACTGATGAAACTGATAGCACGAGTTATAACCCAAGTGAGTCAGGAATGTAGGAGCATAAATCCTTGAAAGTCAACTTTAAACTCCCATCAAGAAAAAACATGCTGCGTAGACTATAAGTTCTAATTACTTCAAAAGAAAGGTAAAAGAACTGTAGCAGATATAGGTATAGCTATAAAAATAATCGTATACCTATCCCAAGTTTGTTCAGGGGCTGCAGTTGCAATACTGGAACGTCTTGTTGAGATGGTCACGTGAGAAAGAGCAGTCAGAAGATTTTGATTTTTTTTGTATTCATCTGATACATCAGGAGCAAGTGAATTAGTTCTAGAAAATACTCGGGTTGAAGTTGAGGTGACGATATTTTCTTTGGAAGATCTGGAATATTACAAGACATTTTTAAGATCACATCCAGAGTAAATATTCTCCATATCAACCATATGTTTTTAATACTCTTGATAAGCCTAACATCTCACCGAAAGTCGTAGCAAATATACCAGGTGCACAAAGGCTGACAATGACTGCAATTCTCACACCTTAAACCGGTATTATAACATCAATTTTGCTGATATTATTTTTCAAACTGTAATTTTTCCAAAAAGATCTCAACCTAACTTTTAAAATCCTTTGGTATATAAATCCCTTTACACTTTGGAATAGGTCTGACGATTTTTCTCTGGTAAAAAAACAACATTGTTCTCAACAGCATTTTACCTGTTTTTATCAACTACTTTAGTTTCAGATCGTCTTCTTTCGTTTCGGTCGCCAACTGTTTGTTCGTTTGCATTTGCAGACTCTACTACGTTGATATCGGCTCCAACCAAATCATTTCGATTTTCACTAGAATTAGTTTTTTCAATATTTATTTTCATTTGTCCATCATTACTTTCATTTGATTCATTCTCGCTTTCCTTTGTTTCAACTACAGGTTGCAATTCCTTTTCGTCTTTTTCTGGAAGTATCGATTACAAAAATCAAAAAATTAAACTTTCATGCCAAAGTAATGCCTAAACTGAAATAAGTACATATCAATTAATTGAGGATGATGTTACAATCACAACCAAAGTGTAAGCCAATATTCCAAAATCAGAGAACTTCGCTAGTATTGAATGCTCATAATAATTTCCACCAGAACTATCTACCAAATTTGCAACTCTGGAAAAAAGTCATGTTTAAAAAATGTTTGATTTGTGACTTTTTGTCCAGTCAATTATTCTCACCCAGCAGTACTGCTTGTACAGTCCCCTTTTGAAAAACGTATTAAAAAGTCATATAATAAAGCAATTATTTTCCGACACAAATAGGGAGCGAACACTCCCCCCCCCCCCCCCCCCCCCCAAAAAAAAAAAAAAAAACTCCCCCCAACTTGAATATAATTGTATTTGAATATCAGAATTTATATATTAATATACCACCATTATATTGAGTCAAGTCAAAATATGCAACAGAAATCCGACTCCGATAGAGATAATTTTGGATATTGCCCACTTGCAAATTGTACCTTTGTTCACAAGCAATTCAGAAATAACTTCTTCGACGACTTCAACATCGCTTTTCTGTCTATCAATTTGTTCATGTTTGTCATCTTCCAAAATCGACTTTTTGATTATGACGTCATGATCCATTGATTTTTTGACCGTTAAGCTTGCGTCAGTTGTGGTGTGGAAAGATGGTTTATTTATATTATTTGAAGAATCTACTGATAATACACTGTTGCTGGGAACGACAGGACGCTTGCTTGAATTTTCTGAACCTGTCATTAAAAATAAAGTATATATATGAGTGTGCAAATTATGTCTTGCGACCTACCTTCACACGCTAGCTCATAACAAAGCTCTCAACAAGCATTGTTTTTTGATAGGATCGCAGTGTCTTCAATTCGACAGAACCTGTACATACCCAAGTTGGCAAGAATGAAACCTTTTTCAACGTTTCCCACTGAAACGCTCATGCAAATTATGCGGAGGGAAGTGTTTAATTCGATTGTGGAGGACACGCAGAATAGGGTTACACCCTTCTGAATCTGTAGACATCTAATATTCACGTAAATATTGTGAAAACAAATTATGTAATTTTTTCTTACCTGTGGAATCTGAAAGCTGTCTTGTAGTTTGTTCTTTATTTTCGTTTTGTTTCGTCTCTTGGACTTCGATTCCATCTAATCAATGATATTGATGTTACAATATAAACTTCTTTTAAAGAAAGACTTGTAAATGTGAATTTTAAAAGTATTCATAAAATTAACTACCGATATATCGCGATATATTCTAATCGCACCAGGGACCTAAAAAAGGGCGCAAAATTGTATACATTGCATTTGGTTTTTACCAACAGTTTTTGACTTTGTCATTATAAACTCATAACCAGCGTTGGAGAAGGGAAGTTATACTCGAGTCACCATTTGCCAAAGACTCAAAGTGACAAGAGTAATTTAGATAAACTGACTCGAACTCACCAGTGAGACTTAAATCAGGCTATGGGTGTAAGAACTTCCACCCGACACTGCTCATAACAATAACCAAATAATATATACCAATAATTCAGCACCAATTCTTACTGTGAAATTTTCGAACCAATTATCTTACCACACGCCGAAACGTATCGCCATGTGGAAAAGTGCACAGCAAAAACCGTCTTCGACATATTGCAATTAACAACAGCCGTAGTTCTACCTATTTCGTTACCTTTTATCTCTTGTTTTCTTTTCAAAAGAATTTCAGCAATTTTATGAAAAACTTCTCCAACGTCATTACGATATTTCGCAACCAAATTATCGACGTCAGATGTTGCTCCTCGATGTTTAATAAGCTCCTGTTGATATTCCAAATGCCAATATATTGTATGAAACTTTTCCAAACCACCGTGCCGTTTGGCTTCTAAATATATTTCGATATTGTTATCCACCAAGCACCAACCAACGTTTTTGAAGTAAGGTCATAAAACCAAAACAACGTGACGTATATATAGGCGCATCGTGTGAAAGATCATAAATAGAGCGTTGATACTGCGGCGGCGAGGTGGTTCAGCAACTGTTATTTATAATTTGTACAGAAATAGGAGTTGCGGGTGCGTAACAAATTGAAGTTTATTCTGGCAATTGTTTATAGGCGGAAATTAATGCGACCCGCACACTGTCGCCAATGTGCATATTTGGCCCAGTGGTACATAAGTTTGTCTGTCGACCACTGCTCTATAGTGGAATTGAAAATATTGCTCTATAGTGGAATTGAAAATATTGCCAATTTTCAACATAAATAATACCGAGGCAACTGAAAATTGATATGTTAAAAAAGATTCAGTGCAACACTCACTGATTCGTTCTGATGGTGTTTCTTCCTTATTTTTGGCAAGAATTGTTGCTCGAACTCTTTGTTGCATGTCAGTAAGCCTGATGAGAAATTGAAGGTTTATTTTGCAGGCAACGAACTTTGGTAGTATAGTTACATGCCCATATAGAACGATAACCGTTCAATATAGGAATAATATTTTTGTGGGAAAAACTTTGCCTCACAATTCATTTCATGCTATGTGCTTAGTATATATATAATTATATTTAACTTATGGTTGGTTTGTATTGGGTAATTCACCTTGGCTTGATATATCTAAGTGACCGAAATCTGATGACATCACTAGATTCGCCCCTTCTCCGGTCAATGGAAAAAAGAAATACGAGAGAGAATAAATAGGGAATAATCTCTCTCGTTTTCACCGTGGCATTCAATGGTAAAAATTAAAAAAACTGACCGTGGCACAGAAAGTTCTTGGTTAGATTAAATAAAAAATTGAGGGTGTTCTCAGATGAAATGGAATTCAGAGTATTTATGGACATGCAATAATTTTCGCACAAACGACACAAAATCGGGATAAAATCGACTGAGAAGAAAAGAAATTGACTTCTAACTTGAATCTGTTGTTTTTGTTATGCGTAAAAATCTCTCATCATTCATTCCAGTCGAAGGCATGATTATAAACCAAAGAGTGTGGCGTTGGTAAGGCATATATGTTTATGACTCTATCACAATAATTTTTACAAATTATAGCCCTAAATAAATGGCAATTAATTTGAAACAACCTTTTATAATCGGCATATTTCTGACATAATTTAACAAGTCTTCGCGCAACTTGAGTTCGATAGTTTCTGACACTTATGCTTGCATCATTCGCTAGTTCCGAAGTAATGTGACTCAGTCGTAAAGAAGGTTTGCATTCTAATAGCTTTTCCATCGTTTTAACATAAACAGCAGCTTGAGATGGGCCTGGTGGCTTCTGAAATGCAGAAAACATGTCTATATTAAATATAGATTCAATTATCGACTATATTTTAACAATAATGAAAGATTTATACCCAGGCAATTTTCCCTATATTTTATGTAGAAATAAGGTTTCATTGAATTACAAATTGAAACGATAAAATTTCTGTACTGTATTATATAAAATCTCTAGGTACGATTCATTTCCCTTTTTTAAAATATTGATAAGATAACTACATTTATAGGAAAGGAATTCGATTAACTGGACACGATGGTTCCCAATAGCGATTTAAAAAAGCAAAATTGTGATATCTTGTGTGTCTCAAGAACGTTTTCCGACAGGAGTTTATGGAGGAAGCCTCTATTCATACTGGTAATTTTTCTTACTTGGTCACTTTTTTGACATCTACACTATTTCCATACCTCTTCTTGGTAAACTATTTTCACAACTGGTGGTTTTTCATCACGAAATCCCAGTTTTTGACTTCTGTTATTTCTTTGCACCTCCTTCTCTGCCATCATTCTCAACTGGGCTTCTCTAGCAAGATTTCTTTGTGACGTATCATATTGCTCCTAAAACGTTAGTCAACATTGTCATATTCTAGTTAGTTTTAATGACGTGTCCTAGAATTGTCTTTGTAATTTATGTCGATTTTGAATGCGGATAACCGGTTGAGAATTTGTCATAGTATGCCAGAATGAAGGCCGACAAGTATATCTAATTGTACAGCACAGCTTGGCGTATATATAGCTCATTGCGCCAGGCATTAGGAATATGCTCTCCATCGCACCTCTGATTACCTTGCGTGGGTTCGCAGGTTCGAATTACGGTGGGGATAATTACGTGCGAGAGGATTGCTGGACTCCTCGCCGCGCATGGTTTACGACTACGTAACCGTTGGTCGGTTCCGGCTTGCTGCACCATCAAGTTCATCCATCTGAAACAAATAACTGGATAACTAATCAATACCCGACATGGAATGGTAACCGGAACAGACGCCGGATTCCCTCGTCCGGGATAAACATGTATGTCATATCTAGGGTTACCATATTTTTTGGACTTCAAAGCGGGACGCCTCCAAAGACACGACCACTTAGCTGTGATCCTGTAACTTTACAGTTTCCGATTTTACTACATAGGCCTACATTTAAAGCCATCCCGGCTGTCTTCATTGACCATATTGTCATCGAGAGTTCATGCGCATATTCTCTGTATAAATATCGGATTTAGTTCGATAAATAGAAAGGAATAGACGCTGACGATACAAATGATCCGAATTTAGATTTTTTTTATGTACAGCAAAAGGAATAAAGAATAATGAAATAGTCTGCCGTTTTCAAGCATTGGGAATTTACTTATTCGCTATGCTTGCTTCTTCTTTGGATAACACCTTCAAAAAGACGTTGCTCAATGTTATATTCACGTGAACGTCCGGACAGGACCAATTAGAATTGATTTTAGCGGGAAACAACGAAACAAACAAAATACCGCATTCACCTTCAGTTAGTAGACTAGCGTTGCGCTACACAGCAACAACAGTAACGAGAACATGTTCGTGTATTATGCTGGATGGCTGAACGCAAAAGCGGGACTTTTGGTTGACTTGTCGGAACGGCGGGACAAGACGCTAAAAAGCGGGACTGTCCCGCCTAAAGCGGGACGTATAGTAAGCCTAGTCATATCCTATCCTAGCAAACCACGATGGGTGACTTCAAAAACTCCAACTGCCCTATGGTTGTGTGAATCATTCTGCCACGGCAGGTAAATCCCTCGCACATAATCCTCCCCCCAAAATACGGTCATTCCTTTTAATGCAGAGTAATCAGCAGCGTGACTTCGGGTGTATTGCTAACACGGCGGACGACGCGGATATTCGAGAAAAATATTACTTGGATGAATAAGTTGAAGATTATGATTTTAAACCGTATTAGTATGTCAGTCACCTCAACTAGGGTGTAATATATTAGGGTAGGCAATAAATACAATCAAATATAAATACATTCATTACATTCAACACAAAAACAAAATCAAATACAAAACACACAGTCTTACCCAGTATTCACAAAGACTTAGCCAATGTTTGTCTATAACAAATATCTAGGAATTTGATTATTTTGTGTTCAGATTTTGAATGAGAGAAATTATCAGGCTTGTCCATGGGAAACGGCCCTTGGGATGGGATGGGACAGAAAAATATGTTCCATGGATAAGCCTGGGAATAAAACTCAGCATTCACTACATATACACTCCCAAAGTACGCCACTGTAAACCACAAACTATAAACCAGGAAATATCCAACCTTCAGTTTCTTATATTCACTTTTCAAATCTTTGAGTTTTGCATCAAGTTTTTGGGCATCTTTTGCAGATTTCTTGTAAACGGCTACAGCATCGCCAGCATCTAGCAATTCCCTCTCTCTTTTCTATGGAATAAATGATAATATAATAACAAGGAACATCAATAGGTCAGTCAGCCAATATCTAATTAAAAATTTTAGTATTGTAGTTCGGTGACTCCAATGAATGCCATTTTTGTAGTGTATGTCTTTTTAGTCGTGTAACCTGTGGAAACGAAAATCAGATTTCCTTGAAATAACAGTTACAACAATAGCATGAAAAGAACCCTCAAACTTGTGATACCAGATTCGGGAAACACTCCCTAGTACTGTCGTCATTCTAACTACAGTATCTTCGCTTTCAGTACATGTTAATCCACTAACATATAGAATCTTCGTTGATATACCTCTATCCAGAATTCAAGATAAAGTTATTAAAATATTTCCGAACTTACTTTCCATAATTCTTTTGTTTTCTTCTCCTGCTCTTCTGCGTTTCTAAGATCTTCCCTGTTTTGTGCATGTTGTCGAACAAGTTTCTGATGATCACTTTTCAACTAAATTTGCAGGGTATTCTATTTAAGATAACCTCATCACATCATTGTTGATTTGTTCATTAGTGTAATTCAGCGGTTCCAAATCAGCAAAATCATAATGATTTCCCACCATAACATTATTTTTATGAACTAAGATTTGGTATATGATCGTGAAATATAAAAATCATACACATAAGAAAGGTAAATGAACTACTTTACACCTCAATGTAATAAACGATAGGATATATATTAATGGCTGTACAACTTTTTTACTGTATGAAATTTGCCAACTGTACAACTATAGTAGAAATTAATCAGTTGATACTATGAAGAATATTTATTTTTCTAATGGTATAATACTCACAGAAACTAATTCATTTTTCGTCTGATCTGCCAATTGTTTGTATTTTCCAATTTCCATAGTTTTTTCAGCTAAAATTTTAATGTGATTCGCAGTTTCTTGCCCGACACTTTTCTCCGCTTTTACTTTCAAATCATCCTGAGTTGATTGCATGTGTTTTATGACTGCTTGTTGATATTTCACAAGCTTTTTTAGAGCGATGTCAACCCTGGAAGTGAATCAAATGTGATTTTTAGTTGCAACAGAATCGACTGGAAACATTGCCAAGAACGATGTATATAGCCTGTTCAAGACTCGCCTCCGAAACAAATAACTGTCTAACTAATCTCATATCCGACGAGAGGCCGTGGTTCGTCATATCATTAGGCCGTCTTATCGGCTTTCCCATCCTTCGAGATAAACATGCAAATCCTATCTTATTTTAGCGTATTTAGCATAAATCGGTAAATGATGAGCACTTACAGCTTATACGTGTTTTTTAAGGTAGATAGATCTTATATAACAACCAATGAGAGTTCATTGGAATACTATATAATGCAGTCTTATGTTTAATTACAATAGCATTTAAGTCGTATTCCATTTACTCTAATATCTTATGTAGATTCCCAATCTTTCACTATTATTTGGAATATCGGAATCGTTCTTGAAGGAATTTTCAATAAAAAGTATTTAAATTAAAATTTTAAGCAATTTTCACGCGTTCGCCCACTACGAGGTTTAGTCAAACATGCACTTATATAAAGTGTGCTTCGGTGTTTTAACGTTACGGAACGATTATAGATTTCGGTAAAAGATTTTGAAATTATCCCTTCAAGGCTTATAACGAACCATTGGTTGACTGTTTTCAGACAAGATATTGGATCAGATGGGTTTTCAGATGAATTATAGTTGTAAACATTCTTGACGTCTTTCGCTATTTTCTGCAGAAGAGCTCGTTCAAAGATCTGAGACAAATCATTCTTGTACCTGCAAATGAAGTTAATTGAAAATTCGTTAAATATGCTACAGAAATATGACTAAATGAAGTTGAAAAAATAGATCGAATCATGCACTCGAACTGTGCGCCAATTATGGTCGGATCGTATTCCGCATCAACGGGCGTGGGATCTTTTCCATAGAAGCACAAATGATTTTTATCTGGTTTGGAGGTGTATTGTCCAATTTGGAAATTAATATTTTAATGCTGGGCCATGTTTGATTCGAGGGTAAATCATTTTCAGGGTCGGAGTTGTGTTTTCGGTTGGTACCATTATATTACAATAAAATATGAACAGCATTTAAAGAGAGCACCATTAAAATCAATTAGCATATTATGCTTTATTTAACTCAGGTTTATAGAATATCTAATATAAAGACACAATATATCAAGTGAAATCCAGGTATACTTTGTAGCCTGTCCAACCGTGTAAGACTGTTCTGAATTAGAGTAGATATAAATTATAAAAAAATGGGTGGGGAAGCCCATGGAGTGGGATTCATAGTAGGTTCTGGGTTAGGGGTATTAGATAGAAATTACACTTGGGCAAATAGTTGTTGTAGACTCGTGAAGTCATATTATATAAATACGACAAATACGCAACACAGATACATAAACTAATCATTGCTTCACCTGTTAATCAAATTTTCCATGTTCAATGCTTGTGAATAAACAGCAGACACCTCGGATCTACGTTCTTCTTCTGCCATGATATTCTGCATACGAAATTCTCGAGCTTGGGAAGCAGCTCTTTTCTTGTGCCTAACAATGAGAGAATTGAAATTTCATAATCGAAAGAAAGTAATAATGAATGTAGTAAGAAAATAACAGAATTAACGAATAGATGAAAATAGAATTAGACGACATGGCTATGTTCTAATTACAGCGAAATATATAAAGAAATCGAACTTTGTTGTATAATACAGGTTGAGCGACATAATTCGATTCCTTGTGTAAAAGTATGACATTGTCATATCGGTCTTTTTTGAAACATTACTTGACATCCATTACTCGTTAGTGATGTTATTTATTTATTAAGATCTGAGTTTGAATTAGAATAGATATATCCGTATTCTTTGAAGGCAAAATAAATGAGTCGATTATGGGAGCTCAAAACGATCTCATATAAACCTGTCCAATCAAACGACAGTACTTAATGTTACGCAAACACAAAACTGCAGTAAACGTAAGTATGGTCTCACTTTTTCTTCATCTCCAGTAACTCGTCTTCGATCTCAGTGATGACAACTTCCAGCTCATTACATCTTCTCTCGCTCTCTTCCCAACCTTCTCTCACTCTCAAATACTGGGTTTTACACATCGAAATTTAACTGACTTGAGATGGGTTATTTTATTTACTAGCCAGGGAAAAAAACGACGAATGATGTGTTGAACAATCGCTCATGTGGTGAAAAGCTCATTACTTATCGATTTTAATCGGTAAGTATGTTGATAGGTATTTGTCTGTCTGTCTGTCTGTCTGTCTGTCTGTCTGTCTGTCTGTATGTATGTATGTCTGTTAGATGCACGCGATGTCTCACGAAAGCGAGATTGAATGTGCTGCAGATTTTGCATGTGGATTCATCTTATCTCGGACCAGAAGCCTATTGATTTTGGGCGAATTATGTCGTATAATTAGCGAGTTATTAATTAATTAGTGATGGGACATAAGGTGTCACTATGGAGTAAGAGCGCTGTTTTGGGCTACGCCCATGAATTCGATAATGTAACCGTGCTAAATTTTCAACAATTTTAAAATCGATTTTGCGGCATTCGCAATGAGACACAAATTCATACGCATTTCACTGATAACCTGTAGTTTTTTGGCTTACTAGTTAATATCAATAATATTCTTCATCCAAATGAACCAACAGAGATAGATATGAAAATGCGCTCTTATATTGCTTGGATAACTTCGACAGCGAAGCGAGCTGTAGATAGATTGTGTTTTTAGATATCAGTGTTCGAAGCGGAGGGCTCATGTAAGCGTCGTATTACGTCATATAATAACACCCTCCCCACAATTTGGGCTGGCTACGCTCTTGGAAAAATGGTAAAATCATTTTAACAAAATTAATCGGTATATTAGTGATAATAGTGGTGCAAACGTAGTTGTGAAACGTATTAGTCCGCTATTCTTCTGCAAGTTGGCCACATTCACCATTAACAAAGAGAAAAAAATTATATAAAAATACACAAAATCACCTCTTCGTTAGAAATTCCAGAAATTGCAACGGCCACTGCCGATACTTGAGTTGTTGCTTCTCGCAATCGAGGAACACTTTTGTCTCCGGTGTCTACATTTACAATATGTATTGAAGGTGATGGCAGAGGAATCGCACTAACAGGGGCTTGCATTCTGGAAAAGTGTGATAGATCACATGTCAAAGACCAATTACGTGTTTCATTCATGTACTATTAGTATGCCTGGTGTCACTAAACAAGACTGAATAGAGGCATTTAGTTGTAGCAATTCCGTCTGTACTCTCCCTTTCAGACACGATGGTATATTGTGGTTGAAGATGGCGGACACCGAACGTTGCATGTGTACCAGGTCAATAATTTCAGGTACAAATACTACGGGAGTCACTTGACTAGTCCTCGAACTCGTGATAGAACTAAAATGAGGAAAATTGAAATAAAATTATGGCCTAACCCTAACCTGGTACACATACTACGTTCCAGTGCCCGCCATCTTGGTATATTATCGTAAAGCCTATTTTCTAATCGGAATTGCTTTGCTTATATGTGCAACCATAAATATTATACGAAACAGCTTCACAATGCTCCAAATAGAAGAAAAATGACAAATATAGTCGACTAACCTCGACGCAGATGGAGTGGTTAACAATCTCACTGATGATCGACGAAGAATCTTTGTACTCGATGCTCGAGCAAGTTGCGAAATACTTTGTCGTCTTTCGTAATCAGGACCTTTTGCAGTAACAAGTGTTTTTATTATTTAAAAATTGCTAAACGTTTTAAAAAAAATGATATTCACCAGACACAAAACGTCAATCTTATTAATGAAATATTGTAATCGAGTCAAATATTACGGGTGACTAATATACCATGTAAATAGTTTGGTCTGGATCTCGGTATTACAATTGATTTTAATTTGCAATATTTAAATAAAACTATTTTGTGGAAGAGATTAAATTTTCTCTATTAAAAAACTCTTTATGAATATCATTCAAATTCTGATCGAAGTTGATTTTAATCAACTGGATATCCTCGTGCGTTAAGAATCACTTCTCAAGATTTGTGGTCATAATAGTGCCGTGGTATCTTAGGGCCATCCGCAACATAATGTTACCTAGGTATACATTATTGAAAGAACTAATCGCTATGGTGTCAAACTAGTCAAAATATCGAAAAATACCACGATCGGAGCCGACAGTGTCAGACCTAATAAACGCACATCTGCCATGTCCGTATATAACTCGCACATCGCCGTAATGTGGAGAATGAGAAAGACATATGCAGTCAACATATTGTTGTGTACTTCTTACGTAAACTTGATTGTATATCATATATATACACCGTAACATTAGAACTTAGGCTTAAAATGAGTGGTATCATCTTTACCTAAAACAGTGTATTGTTGGAATTTATCGCAGACAAGACGCCGGGAAACACCTTCGACCTGTATGGCTCTGCAGTAGCAATCATGCTGTATTCAATAAAATTACCGAAAAGGAAACGTACTAAAATGAAAAATCCATTATACCATCCATTTCTGCATTTCTTTGTTCTTCTTCATATTGACAATGACTCTTCCTGCGTCCAAAGGCGGGAGATCCTTTTCGACCACGACGCTTTGTCCCCCGTGGAGGTGGAGATGGTTCTCTAGAGAAATTGGCTTTGATTATCATCAACGATATTCGATTCTTGGCCGAGAGCACGCTTAGAGACCCATGTCGAGCACGGTGAGAAGACAGCCCAGGACAGATTACGTAACAATCCGTAGTCGTGATTGAATATTTCGTTTGACAAAAGACTGTTTTTTTTTATTTTTTATTCAGATACATTCGAATGGAATTATCTGCAAAATATGTGCTTACCTATCGCTATCACTTTCCTCAGCCATTGTTGTTAATTTTTTTACCATTTCATTTTTTGCTCCAAGTTCAACTTTCAATAATTTTATTTGTGCATCTCTCTCAAATAAATCATCCTCAAATAAAGCTGCTTTTTCTTCGAAATCTTCTACTTTTTTATTCATCATTTCAAGTTTGTCATTAGCATCTCGAATCATTTGTTCTTGAATTAGTTCTTTCTAAAACAGTTAGTTACAAATAAATTGCAGATAATGCAAATAAGTTGATTATATAGTATAGTCATGTTTATTCCTGCTACAGCATCCTTGCAATATGCGCATATGGATCTGATCCGCTATAGCTATAGGCATCTACATCTACCAAGAGCCCAAAAAAAGCACGGGCGTCAATAGGTTATTTTGGGGGGTACTTAACAACGGCAGAATCGCAGAATAAAACTGAGAGAGAAAGCATATACAATTAAGCACTCCGCACAAGTTTTTATTTCATTTGAAGTCGCTTCGAACAAGGCTGCATGTAGCCACGAAATCGCAAGGCCATGAAATACCGCAAATCCTACTCTTAACATAAACAGTTCGAGCAGAGAGAGAGCGAGAAAACTTTTTGGGACAAAATGAGTACGCAACTCACAAAGCACGATATGGCAACCTTGACTATGGGCCAAGACATAGAGGCAAATAGGAAGTAAGTCTTGTGTAACCCCAACTCATACTAACCTGATCTTCGACTTTCTCATCGGCACTAAACAGCAACCACTGTCTGTGTGGCACGGTTGTACACTTTTATCGCCAGTAGGCCATGTTGCAAGCTCATGAGAAGTTTTAATTCATAAAAATTCCAGATACATTCATACTCACTTCTTTATCTTTTTCAGTAGCCCCACCAATTTGCTCCCTCAATTCATCTCTCTCGTTTCTGAGTTTGTCGATTTCTTCTCCCAAAGCTTGAATTTGATAACTTTGATTACTATTCAGTTCCTTCAACTCGATTAGTTTCTTATTATCATCTTCACTGATAACATTTTTAGGTGCTTTTGTCGCCTCTACCTTTAACTCTTTGATAAGGTTATTCAGATCGGCTATCTGGTACGAAAAGTGAATAAAGTGGTGGGTCAACCTAAAATAACCAACTTATTTTTCCAAGAAAGAATTCTGAACAGAAACTATCGTATTACCTTATCTATGCAAGATCCAAGCTCAATTCTCAATTTTTCTGTTTCGTATCTGCTTTCATCTCTTTCTTTCGAGATTTTCACAACGATTGAATGAGTTTTTGTATATTTTTCTCTCCATTTCTTTGTTTCTGTATGTATATGATCCACCTTAGCTCGCAAACCAACTACTTCTGCTTGCAAATCGATCAACTGATCTTCCGCTGTGTCCACCTACAGTTAAGAAATAAAACGGCAGAAAAAAATGACTTCGCCATTTAAAAGCAACATATTACAGTTAGTTATTCGAGTTTATCGATTCAAACTAGCAAAAGAAATCAAGTATCAAAATAACTGGTTTTTCAGTCAGTATAAATAGCGCAAAGTTCGTAATACGCTATGCTTGTCCGCAACGATCGGCAGGTTGAAACAGAAATACACAAGTTATTTAGCTACGAAAATATAATACGAAACACACTGATATATATATAGGCGAAAGTGTAAATTCAACTACGAAATAAAATATCCCAGGCGAAATATCACTGGTCGTACATTTTAAAATTGTTTAAAATGTAAAATCACAGTCAATGTATGATAAAAATGTGATGGTCTTACGGCATTGTCACGAATCTCGAGCACAGCGACGACAAGTTTAAATAGATATAAAATCCTTCGTATCTTCAGTTTGCAATTTCGGTGAAGCAATTTTACTTCATGAACAGATATGAGAAGATCTCGAATATCATTGCAAGCCGTCTGAAACATATAGGAGAGAAAGTCACGGTATAGTGATTATACGAAAAGGTTACTGAAACCTATCACTAAAACGAAATATCCTGGTTTTAATCTTGTAATTTTATGCGGAAAGGGTCAAAAGTACTTTAACTCTCCACTTTCTTATTGAAGCTAGTAATCCAAACGTACGATTGGGTGAAGCTGACTAGTCAAACTTTAATACAATGGTAACATTTTCCACATTGTCTTAGTGGAGGTTAAAAATAACTGTGTACGATCGTATCTTTGAATAGACTTATTGATTGTTGTGTAACAATCGTAAATACTTACTCTCCATTCGGAATTCATTTCCTGCAAGATTACCTGCTCCTCTTCGTCATTTGCGTCATAACTTGCCAACAAAGCCGTCATGTCTGAAGAAACGAACACAGAAACGTAAATGGCATAATTTTATTTTTCAAAAATCATATATTGGAGATGTCATATGTTATATCGTTTCGGAATTCCATTCGAATTACGCTATCGACATACGTCATGCACGATCTAAAATTCTATAAAAATGATCATAATAAAACAAGAGAGCTACGCCCAAATATATGGACACGTCTGTTCGCAGTACAGTACGGTTTACCGTACCGTCATATCACAGTCTACAAATATATATTCACACCAAGCGAAGCAGTACAGTAGGACACAAAATGGCGTCCGATGTCCCCTGAACGTTTAATGACTTCATAGCAAACAAAAACAAATCTCATAGAGTTAACAGAAATATTTAAAATGAATAAAAGTAATAGCCTTCTGGGGAAAAATTTTATCTTCAACCACTGAAAATTTCAAAGCAATTGGTCCAGTGTTCAAAGAGAAAAGCGACTTTTTTAAAAATGATGGAGACAAATAACAATAACAACAAAATTTTGAAACGATCGTTATGTCCACTACGTGTCCAATAATGAATAGAATGGATGAAAAATAAAAAATCTTCAAATTGTTAAGAAATGGTTATAGAAAAACATTGATTGGCAATTTAATTTTTTTTTTTTTAGAATTTGCCCGAAGAAAAATATTTTGTATATTGACGTTCTTCTAGAAACGAATTTGCTCCGTCGACGAAGAAACAAAAATCAATATATTTCGTGGATAAAAATCAATCAATTTGATTAATCAAATACCAAAATTGGATACTGGATAAAATGGAATACATACGCACTTTTCATACACAAATTTACAGCATAACTTAGAAACTTATCATTAAAAACCTCCTGGAAATTCTTCCAATCCATGCAACATTTTTTTCATGAAATTAGCTCTTTTCTTCACAGGAACAGCATCAAGAGCATCGCTATTTCGTCTGACTCGTTCATTGACACGAGCAAGTGTTTTTTCCGACATTGCACTGAAAGCAACGATTATTGGATTTATTAGAATAATAAATTTCTGATTTCGAATAATAGAGGAAATCCGAGTTCAGCTATTACTGAATCTGGATCCAGAGGTCAAGTATTTCCAATGCCCATCGCTAATCGTCATGTGTTATTGCTGTTACATTTGAAATACTTTTTTAAGATAGTAATTGGTTGGCGCATGATATAATTCAAAGTAAAGTTTTCGGTTTAATTGAAAAAGCGCCACATCGTATACGATCCCCCCCCCCCCCCATTATTCGATATAATTTCAGTAGATCTTCAGTGGTCATCCGTGACTTTGTTTAGATTCAGATATTCAATTCGTCGTGCCTGGAATATTTTACCGACACAGTTAAAATAATAATGAAGAGATCAATTGCAATAAACAGACATACAATATGTCCACAATTGACGAGGGACAGCGAAAGACTACAAAAGTCATCGTGTCAGAAATCCGTCTCCTTCTGATTGAGGGAGTGTGACCTTGCTTTGAGAAAAAAAAAATTATAAAACTATCCGTACGAGAAGGATCAAAATGGCAGCTATACCTCTTCTCCGAGTCGTCGTCATTTTTTTCATCAAATACCACGCGACCGATTGACTTGAGTTTCTTCATTGCACACTTGGCCTGATTCAGTGCCTCTGCAATCTCTCGAACAGATTTTTTCGCATCGCAATCTCGTTTTGCCAAAGCTTGTTCGAAAACTCTCATGCTTCTTCCGTCAAGGAGTGATGACGTCGCATCCATCCAGTCGCCCACAGCTTTCACAATTGAATTTCTGGAACAGAATAATATTTTTTTTAATCTCAAAAAATATATAAACAAATCTACTTCCTATCATAAAAATGGAATTAACAGAATAAATTCGGGACAGTTCATATTCTGTTGCCTACTAAATTTTATTGCGTGAAATATTGATTATTGAACCTCAAATTTGCCGAGTCCATAAATACATTGCAAACTTTCTTCATCTTTTTTAATTCCTCCGATTCTTTCGTCTCATTTTTGACACAGAACTGAAACAGATATGACATTCATCATTGCTGTACTTTTATTTAAAGAACTTAATGCACAAAAACGACGACAGCATGATTATTTTTATACAATCAGAGCGAATACAAGTCTGGCACACACAGAAACTACAGAAAAAAACACGTCGCGACTTTGCCACAAAGTGTTTGTGTGCGATTCAGTTAAAGCTATATTATCTGACGTGATCAATACCCGATGTGTGTATCATCCAAAGGGAATCAACAACGGCGTCGACTGGAAGTCAAAGTTACTGAGCAATGATTACAGTGTAAATTACAGATATAGCAATCGGCAATGTTTGATCCTGACGAATTCTTGGCACAAAATAAAATCATTTTGGTTTTGGCACTGTAAGTTATGAAACAAAGTCAAACCTCTGGTGGCCGAAACGAAAGAACTGGAGCGTTTTCTAAGCAAGGTTCTGGGAGTTCAGTAGAGTATCCAGCTTCGTTCAATGCATGACTGATTCTCTGATGTACACTTTTCAATTGGGTATCCAGAATCTAAAATGCAAGATTTCTAAAACACTCTCCATTACATATATTTAATTTTTTAGGAAACCAAAATCGTCTGATTACAGAAGTGGTGGAATCGAGCTATATCCAGTTTACAATATTATAAAGGTGCACGAAAATAAATATACAAAATGGGAACGAAATATCGATACGTCATCGAATCAGCTGACCCTCGTATGGCTAAATGAATATCATGTACTGACAACTGGCGAACTGTCTCAGGCCTTTATATAATATTATGTGGACAATTACCAATCTTAATTATAATTACTTCAATGAGCGGGGGAATTAATTTTAGAATGACGTAGTACGTAATGCGTGATGGGTATGTGATAGATTGCCTGTGATCTTTACTACAGTCTGTATCACAATGAGAAAGAGATCAACATACCTTCAATTCGCGTCTTTTCATAGCCTTCTCTGATCTTTCTTCCAGACATGCCATTTCAGCGGTGGTGTCATCATGTAATTCCGAATTATCATCCAGACTCAAATCAGTGCTTTGAAGGTAAGTCAAATCAAGCATTTCAGCCATTAATTGGCTCATTTTGATTAGTTGTGATTGTAAGAGTTGGATGAATGCATAAACAGCTTAACCAAGCGAATATGATTTAACCAAGCTGCGTAAAACAAAATTGAAATATCATAATGAGAATTATTGTAGGCTACTTCTCAACTCATTTTACGCACCCTGTGATCGAAGGAACGGCTGTTCTCTAGCCTTGAAGTACCAGAAGAACACGGGCAATTGATTGAACTAAACTGCTATAAAATAAAGTCACACCATACATCTGGAGATGTAGAATTTCGAAATGTAAGGAACACGATTGCAATCACCGATGATTACCTTGCGGTCGCAGGTTCGAATCACGCAGGGGTAATTATCAGCGAAAAGATTGCTAGACCGCTCATCGTTTCAGGGTGGTTCAAGTAACCGGCTTCTCCTGTCAACCAAGTCCATGAATATGGACTGATAAAACTATTTACAATTTCAAGACCGGGAATTTTTAACCGAGCGAGATGCGTGATTCGCTAATATATGATTTCATCGGCTTCCTTTCACTCGGAATAAATAAGAATACCGGTAACCTATCCTAAGTACATCACCGCCTAATATGCTTGTGCAAAGCCTCGTTGTGAGGGTACACTATAAAACGCCTCACCAGCGATGGGAGTCGTCGCTATGCGTATGCATTGTCGTATTATTAGCGAACAAACAAATTGCTCGCCACTTTATGACGTAATAATATGAGCTCCAAACATGATCTACGCGAAACGCTTTTCTCAGAGATAGCGCGATCTGGGAAAATGTTCAATATAATAAATTATTTGGAAACGGCTGCCTCAACTCGCCTCCGCTATGAAACCATTCCTGACTGAATTCTTATCACGAATTAACAGAAATTCTGACATCTTTATTTATAGTTTACATTGCGGACGACGGGCATGATTTTTTAACAATGTGGCGAATGCCTAACTTTTATTTACAAATCCGAGCCTTAGCGGTTGATTAATCATCAAAGTTTGGTTGAAGCAGATGTGCATTGTTACTTGAGGCCACCCATGCATATATATAATGCAGAGGTGCACAATACCCCACAAGCAGAGCCGAGTTACCAGTAGGCTGAAACCCAGTCGCCTCGACTTCAATTTTGAGCCTCAATTCATTTTTGGGTGCTCCAGAAGTATGCGCACCAAGATGTCGCACAGCCTGAATCCTAACCGGTACACACATACTATGTTCAGGTTGTGCGCCATCTTGGTGCGCATACTTCTGGAAGTCTCATTTTTTTTTTAATTTTATAGAACTGATATATATTTGTTTTAATTTTTTAATCAGGTTAATTCTTGTCCCACCTATTTTCTGAATTTATGAATAATACTATTCACATCAGTTTGTTTCAAGAGATGGAACCAGTAGTGATGTGTTTTTCAGTTTTTGGGCCATGCTGCAACACTTTGTGTTCTGATAGCACTCAGTGCTCACATATAATCCCATTACAACTCTTATTTACCCTCCATTATCCAACAAAAACTCAAATTTTGATTGAACCCGATTTATTTTTCGTTGATTCTATCTCAGTCAAAAAGTAAGAATGACTAAAACACAGTTGAAAACAAACAAAAAACATGGAATAAAAATTCACAACACGAATTACTGACTAAAGTTCACGTTCTTGCTGCCAGAACAGGGACACAAAATTAATTTCAGGAAAGTGCCACACGACCAAGATATATTTTAGTTTTCAGCATTCTCAAAGCAAAATCTCAACTGCTAACATTTCTAAAACAAGCTTCAAGATCCTAATTTGTTCATAAATTATATATCACACTTTTACTGATCCTAATTTTTGATTTAATAAGCAGGAATATCCTGGCATATAAATATATTACAGATTCACCAGTGGATTTTCACATTTACTAGGTTTTAGCACTGTAGTTGATAAAAAGAAAATTTGACAAATTTATTAGGAATTGTCGTCTTTCCGAAATTATATGTGTTTTACTACGCATTAGTTGGCTGAAGTAAAAAAAACATTCATATCATTTTTTTTTACAAAAAAAAACCTCGCGCAGAAATGATGGAAAATAATGTACAATCTCAGAGATATTCATCCACCTAGTCCACATAATGTTATTTGTAGGGCAGTCAAGATCTGTCAGTTCACGCCACACCCAAGTTAAAACGGAACCCCAGGCTGCATTAGATATTCTCTCTACAGGAGTTAAATCATGAGATAGATATTATCTGGAACGTTGTATTCTCGATGCAACTGTTCTTACTTCCTTAAGTGGTTCTTTTTTAGTTTTTTTAAATTTCTGTTTTTTTGGTTTGTGTTTCCTTCTTTCCTCCGGTTCTGGTGATTGATAGTATTCGTCTTCATTCATATAATCATCTTCCGCGTAATATCTTTCACTTCTGTCAGATACTCGTCGCCTCTTATCTTTTCTTTTCATAGTCTCAGATGACCTGAAATAGATTGGAACTCTTCAGAAATCTGGCAAAATATCCAATTCTATTTCATTTGGTATTCAATATTTAACCATACAATATATATCTTTCATTACAAAGAAGGATCTGAACGGCCTTCTACTATCAGGAGCAGAGCTACTGTAGTCTGAAATGATCTGAATCTCACCAGTTCGGCATTGCATACCCAATTTATCACATCTGGATGAGTGAAGTGGTTAGCATGGGCGCGAAATTTTAACCTTGCAACACCAAGATAGTTAAGGTTAACATTTTAACCAATAGGTCATCTATTCGAATAGAATACAATAAATAATAATTTCTGCACACCATCACATTAACCACTTCTGTTTTGCTAAAAATAAATTTAAACTTAACGGAGTGTAAACGAACATAAACTTTAGATGACAATTTGAAACAATTTCACCCACTATTCAATTGTATAACAATCATGAATGGAATATGGAAATTTATGAACAATTTATTTATGGAAAACAGTAGAATCATGCATAAGTCAGACACAGATATTTGAACGTCTTGTATATTGAAAACACATGCTACTGAAAAATGTGAAATCTCAACCCAAAAATAGTTAAAAACATCGGTAATATTAGCGTAAAGTAAATTTAAATCCTTACCCCTGATATTTTTTCTTCGATCGTCTATCTTCTTCTTCGCTGAAATATTCATCAATGTCTTCATATCTTCGTTTCCTATCGCTAACTTGTTTATCTTCGTGCTTATGATGTCTTCTTTGGTCTCTTTCAGACCTCTCCACTGATCTCTGCTCTTTCTTAGACTTTCCATTTTCCCTGTAGTATTAGACGATAAATTACAATAAAAAAAAAACAATTGTTATCATTATGTCAGGATAGACGAATTTAAAATAAATAAATCTCCAGAGAATAATCTATGTCGACAAATTTTACAATTTCACATTTTATATGATCCAAGTCAAAGACAGGGCAAAGATTGATATTTTTTAATGACTTGGCTCCAAAAAAAGTTTGCAAATGGGCAAATGGCTCAAATCAAGATATAAAAAGGACGGACATGATTTTATGCCCTACTTCAGTGTTTCTCAACCTTTTACTTACTGTGTACCAAAGTGTTTTTTACCCTGGCCGCGTACCACTGACAAAGTCCCCTTTTGGGGTAGAGAACGATGCACAAGGAACGCGCTATTGTAGTATTCTATAATGTGGCGTTACATCCATTTTTAGAAATTTGTGCAAAGTTTCAATGTATTAATTATATGTAGTAACACCGTATTAATTGCGTGCAAAATGGCGAGAAAATTTGCATCATCTGCCGATCCATATGATTTATCAAGGCGCTGTCAGAGTATCTCGGCACGTGTCGACCACTCCCTCCAAACGCACCTTTTGTTGCCGATTTTTTAATGCAAATGCATTGTGGACACAACGAGGGCGATCTCAAAGGACAATGGGTGGTAGCGCCATAAACCCGTTCACCGAATACATACAGCATGAAAGATAAAAAGAAAGTGTCGCCGGCATCTTGAAGCCAACTCAAAAGTTAATTGTTGCAATAATTCAAAGCTGCGTACCACATGAAAAGTTCCCGCGTATCACTTGTCGCACGCGTACCACAGGTTGAGAAACACTGCCCTAGTTGAAAGGCCTTTTTGTATTATCTCTGACCAGAGAAAGTTTGTGAATGATTTAAACTGACTCAAGTCACAAATAAATGACGAATTAGCCATATAAATTGATTTTTAAGTATGGAATTTCAATGAAGTCAATTTTTATTTTGATCAAGATTTAACTTCACTAAAAATTGGGAGACATGTATACCTTCTGCTACTATATCTTTCATCTTGATAGATGACTTGTCTCTGTGCTGTCTCAATTTTTCTACGTTCTTCTTCCTGCCTCATTCTCTCGAACTTTTCTTCGTCAGAATCAGTTTGAAATAAATTCTGTAAAGAATATCAAATATTAGCTATAATTAATGGACAGCAATAACATAAACACCATTTTTTTGTTGAAAACTTCATAAAATTTACACAAAAATTTGTTTAAACCGGTGATGGCCAAGCCCAAATAATTTTACAATTTCCATATATCCTGAAACTATTTGATAATGGAATATCGAATATATTCCAAGTTATGCCAAGTTTTTTGCAAATAAATTTGCACAAACAAAAAAACCATATACCATGAGTTAAATTTGATGCACAGAATAGCTAGATAAAATATTACTTTGATTGAATTTCAAATGAAAAAGTAGAATTTATTTTACTTTTATTCTGATCATCAAATATGAGATTCTCAAAATCATGAATTCCTACATGAAGATATTCTGAATTATTCCTAAAATTAGAGAGTTTACTATATCGAATATAACCAATTTTGTATGCATTCTAATATCCATTCATTTTTGAATGGTTTTAACTCAATTCTCTAAAAAAGGCTTAATTTATTATTTGTTTACTTCATGAAGCAAAGAAAAACAATTCTACCAATTTTGTTGTTACCTCGTCATCATAATCATCCCTTATTGAAATATCATCCTCAGTATCTTGACTTTGTTGTCTGTGATGTTTCTTATGCTTTTTCTTTTTCTTGTGTTTCCTTTTCTTCTTCATTTTCTCATAATCACCTTCACTTCCTTCTGGCAAAGAATCCGCAAATTCATCCTCATATTTTTCCTCCTTTGCTTTCCGAGACACTTCGCTACTATGTTTTCCTCTTTTAGAAGATGTTTCTTTTCGGCGAGGGTTAGGTTCTTCAGTTATAGAGGTTGAAAGTCTTTTTTCTCTTGGGGCTTTTTTGTTCTCTTCATGGTCACTAGCATCAATATCGGAAGGTGCATAATTGGATAATGCTTTTTCACTTTCGTTGCCACTGTAATCTGGTTCGAATGAGGCTTCATCAATGTTAGAAATCGACGGCCGTAACAATCGTGATTGTTTTGATGAACTGTGAATATCAGCAGATGGTTCATTCGATACAACCACTCTTCGGCTGTCACTAATCGCTGGAGATGGCGTCGACTTCTTTGATTGCACAGTTGAAGCTGAATTCTTTTTCAAATTTTCATTTTCTTCATCCTGATTATTATTTTTTTGTTTGTCTTCCTTAATAGCTTCTGTGTTACTTGATTTTCCAGGTTTCTTGAGGCGAATTTTCCTAGATTTTGCATTCTTTTTATCAGGTTTTGGAGAAACCTTAGTTAAAGCTTTTACCTTGTCATTTCGCTGCGACCCCGATTCATCATCTGACTCCCACCTAAATTGTAATTTCAAATTAACATTTTTTGTCCTCAATATATGTTCGTACTCTCAGAAAAGGAATTGCTAATCCCTCTCTGATTCATTCATATCTCTAAATTAGTTTACAATATTGAATTGTAAAATTTGACAAAAATCCTAATTTTGAATTTTCAACGACCATTTGAACTGAAATTACAGTTTTTGGTTGTGTGATTACTGAAACCGCTTCCCCGCATAGCTCAAAGCCAAAGGTAATATTTTATTAATAAGAGTTTAGATCTCAGAGTTTAATTATCTTTATTTTTTTATCCTTCTTATATCCATCTTATTCTTATCTATACTAGTACTTATCATACAATTAATGAATATTATCAGATACAAAACTGCTAGACAATAAAATCAAAAACACTTACTTGGACTTTGGAATTGTAATCTGCACCAATTCATCTCCTGTTGGTGTCGGACCTGAGCCATCATATTCCACAACTTGGGATCGTTCTTCATCCTTCTGTTTATTACTCTCCCTGGGTGACGGTTTCTTTCTATGTTTTGTTTTAGAAACATTGCGTGACCCTTTCACTCTTTTACTTTTCTTACGCTCTGGTTGTTGGGGCAGTTCCTCTTCAAGTTTCTCTTGAATGATTTCTGGAATTTCATTCATTGCGTGCGACTTGTTTTCATTTTCAGTCAATTCTGGATTTTCATTAGAAGCGTTATCAACTGATTCAGGCATCAATTCTGGCTGTGGAGTAGTAGTTTCCATCAAATCATCTAAAACAGGGTCATCTGCACCTTCAATAAGAACTGGTGAAATATTCTCGTCAAGGGTCGGGGTGGGTGATCTTTCAATAGCTGGTTCGGAAGTTGTTTTCGTTTCTGGAGTTCTATCTTCTACCCCAGGTAATGGACTCTGGGTTCTTTTATCCCCTTCTTCCCTGTTGGTTGCAGTCATTTTTCTTTCACCTCCTGAGATTTTTTGCTCTCTAGGTCTTCTTTGACGTTGAGAGTCTCTCTTGTCTGAAATAATTCTCTCATCTCTCTTACGCCTGTGTTTTCCATCTTCTTGATCTCTCGAGAAACCTTTATCCCGATTCCTTGATTTTTCTGATCTTGGTTTCGCTTTGTCGTTGAATACTTTGATTTTTATGCTTTCGTTCCTGAATTCAACAAGAGCTTCATCTCGGACTGGTGTTCCATCTCCTTCACCAGGAGGAACTGGCTCTATGTTTCTGTCCCCTAATGGTGTTTCAGTTCTCTGGCCTCCTCTGCTTCTTTTTTTACTTCTAGAATCACGATTACTGGTTTCTTCTCTTGTTGCTTATCATGGTCTCTGGTTCTCTTCCTTGATCTTGTTTCTTCTTCTTTTCGCGAAGATCGACTAGAAGCTTCATCTCTTCTAGATGAACGACCTTCTTTACGTGCATTGCTAGATCGCTTCGAAGTATCTGATGTTCTCTCTCTATCCCGGTCACGATCTCTTGAACCTCTTTGTGACCCACTTCTGGCGGTTTCTTCAATTTCTGGTCTTCTGCGACGAGAATAACGCTCATCTTCCCTATCATAAGGTCTCCCGTCACGATCACGTCCCCCTCTTTCCATTGGTGGGGTTCTTCCTCTTCTACGTCGTTCATCATGATATCTGCCTCTATCTCCAGCTCTTGGGTCCATTCTAGCTCGAGGAGCATTCGGATCAAAATGATGAGCAGGACCCGGTGGCCCTCTGTGGTTCGGTGGCCATGGTTCTTGTCTCACGAGTTGTCCCTGCATTCTTCTATAGTATTCTTCTTCTCTAAGAAGTCTCTCTCGTTCAGCCAAATCTCCCTCAAAAGCAGGTGGATCCCAAGGTGCAGGGGGACCTGGTCGAACATGATAACGCTCAGGGGTTCTGTCACGGTATACCAACATTCCTGCATCTTCTTCAGTGGGGGTTGCATCACCAGGAGGGGGTGGTTGTCGCTGGTACATCATGAGTGGAGGAGCTTGTTGGATTGGAATAAGACTCGAGTGAGGAGCAATCTCACGTAAAACAGGTTGAGGCTGAGAGTGAACAACAGGTGGTGGAAATTTTGTTGGATCATAGTTGATGAATCGTTTGAATGGTGATGGTGGAAGAACTCTACTTCTCAACCAGTCTTGTTCATACTTCTGCTTGTAATAATCATACAGAGCAATATCTCTTTCATAGTCAAGTACCGACTGAGGTGGCATTCCTGGTATAACTGCCTCAGACTCTGTAAGATCAATAGGAAAGCCAAATTAAATTTCCACAAATAGGATGAAGTAATTAGTCTTTCAAATTACTGTATATTTTATAACTATTCATAAAATGTATTCAAACACCATCATGATTACTTTAATGATGGCGAGAGGTGAGAAATACTTTAGGTTCAATTATTTTGATGAAATTACGGGGAAAACGTGGAAATATTTATACAAAATATCACAATTTTCAGCATAGTAAGCATATCATATAAGAAAATAAATACAAAACTATTGATACTAAGTTTGCTGAAAGCCTCGGAATATTATTCATTAGTATCATCATTCCTTTTAATAATCCAACTAAATACATTTTCAACAACTGAGACCAAAAACCCACCATTCTGAACTCTTCCGTCAGTTTTGTGACTGTCTTTACTCTGTGATTTAGAACGAGATCTTCTGCGCCTCTCTCGATCGCTTCTGTGTCTGCTGGATGGTACATGACGCTGTGAAGACTGACTGGTAGAACGGGATCTTGAATGGTTTCTACGCCTGATGAAGGCGCAAAAGTTTTTCAATATGTTAAATTTAAACACTATCAAGAAAGAATCTCGAACAATCACCTAGGGATGTTTGAATGAAGTCTTTGTAATGTTCAGAAACAATAGTTAAAATGATAGATGAATTTAATGCTCTAAGATTCAGATATTCAAATTATTGTTGACCCCTAGAAAATTTTATTGTTTTGCAATATCAATTTTGATTATGCAAATCAAAATTGATATTGCTAAACAATAAAATTTTCTAGGAATTTTCTTGCGATTTTACTTCAAAATATAATACATTCATTTTGAGTAATTGAAAACTAAAATTTTAACGGCCGCAGAATACAATTATACTTGATTAACTCCATACAGACCCAAAAATTTCAGCTAAGTTGAATATATAAAACAAATAGTCCTCCAGACTTTTTCTAATGGCAAGATACAGATTTGATTATTTATTAATTTAATTATTACTCACATTGGCGATTTTTTTAATTGTGAGCAAAGACAATACATAGTACATAACCAGAAATCTTTAGGTACATTCATTGACAAACGAATAGCTCTCGCCATACCTAGATCCACTGCCTCGTTTTCCAGGCGACCTTGAAGATTTGCGATGTTTTACAGCCTGTTTTCTGCCTCTCTTCTTTTTATCAGGGGTTGGGGATCGGCTTGGAGTTCTTGAGTACGAACGTGATTCTGATTTTTTGCCTCTTCTTTGTTTCGTTCGTCTTTGATGTCGACGTGTCGGTGTGCGTGATCGACTTCTGCACATTACAAAGATTTTATTTAAACATAAACTTAAATATATTTGTAAAAGTAACATTCAATCATTCAATCAATGGTCATTCCACTCAGTAACCCACTATATATATCCAGTTTTCTTTACAGACTTGCTCAAGCAAGAATACTTATTGAAAAAATATAAAATGTGCAGTGTGCAGCAAAGGCAGATTTAATGAAAAATAACATAATTTGGCCTGGTGAATAGGGCTGGCATTTGGAATCTAACATTCGTATCGAATAGTAAATTATTCGAATCGGTTCAGACAAAAATGTTGAATCGCCGCCACCTTGTTTCGAGGTGAAATACTTAATTTCCATGGTAAAATTGTATTTTTAAAATACAATGTTGACGTAAGACATTTTTCTTTCTAGTGAGTTGATGGGAATACATACATGTTTCTTATTGTGTGTGACAATTTATATGTCTGAAGGACCTATTGCAATGAAAGCGACATATAATTAAACAATTTAAATATCTTCTAGATATTTGAGATTCGATAGAAAAAAAAATGATTCTGAAATAATCAGATATTCCAAAATGCCCAGCCTTACTGTTGACTAAGGCAACGGACTTAACAATGTATAGCAAATTCCAAGCACACCACCAAACCTGGGGTATAAATTGCCGAACTGGAAAGAACTGGCCGTTTTCTAAAATAAAGGAACTTCTTACATATCCGCGATTGCTTATATAGAGCCTTGTTCAGGGCAAAATAAGTGTGAAAATATAAAACCTAGCATTATCAGAATTATTCAGTTGAAATTGAACAGAACAGTTTCAAAGTTTTTTAAACGAGCAACACAATTCACAAACATAACAAACTTTCTCAAAACATAAGATATTTTGTTTGTATAAAAGTAAATTCATTTTTAATATATGAATCATATCAACCTTGAATCAGTGTAAGATCCAGAAGATGAATAAGACGAAGAAGCAGTTGATGAATAACTAGATCTGGATGAAGATCTTGATGATGATGAAGTGTAGGATGTTGATGATGAATAGCTTCCTGATCTTGACCTGAAAAAAAAATTATTTAGGTTCTCATATTAGTATGTAAAATTGGGATCGTGCGAAAACAGGGATCTATTATGAATCGATAGTTTATACTCTGTCATGATGGGCACGAAAGCCTTCCCTTAAATATTAAATATAAAAAATATTAATATGGAGTGGAAAATTTTATTTTGTTTGTAATATTCATTTTACTAAGTCAGAGTGGTCCAAACCCAGGCCCACGGGCCACATGTGGCCCGTCGCTACATTATCTGTGGCCCGCGTCGCATTGGCGGGAAAGTGAAAAAAACGCATTTAGTGTTGTTTCGTCATAAAAATAGTTTTTTTGCAAGTTTTAGTGGGTTTTTTGCATGTTTTTGCTTGATAAATGACAAACGAGAATATCGGTCAGAGACCGAAGACTTATCGATCGAAAGTTAGAGGATCCCCAAAACAGCGCTCTTACTCCATAGTGACACCTTGTGTCCAATCACTAATTAATTTATAACTCGCTTTCGTGAGATATCGCGTGCATCTAACGGACAGACAAACAGACAAATACCTATCAACATACTTACCGATTAAAATCGATAAGTAATAATGAAAAGAGTTTGTTTTTTCTTGACACTATTGTGGCCCGCGAACAATATGAAAATAATAGTGTGGCCCGCGAGGCCGACAACCTTGGACCACCCTGTACTAAGTAATATAGTCTATGTTTCTCTTTTTTTCTCTCCTAGTTTTATTTTGTCTGCGTGATTGTATGTATGTGTGAGTGTGCATGTTTTAATTAACCTAATACTTTCGGGTGAGCGAACACGAACCACTTCTTTTGACAACACCTTTCAATCTAAAATCTGTATGTGTTGAACCTTACTTAGGGTTTTGTCCACTTTCCTGATTCTGTAATCAGTTTTATTTATTTTGTTTTCATAAACTATTTTTGTCTTTTATGCTGATAATGGAGTCAAAATAAACATATGCTCAAAGTAACTTATACTGAAGATCAGGGTATAAAAAATTGTGTAATAGTAGCGTCTTACATTATCATTAGGGATGAGTGGGTGCTTGTACAGAGCCTTGTTTGAAGCGAAAGATGCGAATAAGCATCATATACAAAATTGATCGCTATACTTACATTCCCAACTCTCCTAGAAAAGGGGAAATTTCATGTGTCATGAGTTTCTTAATATGCTTTGCCTTACATTGATTTTGCCTGAATATTTAGGCGAAACTGAATATGATTAATATTGATAAAATGTACCTGGATTCTGATCTCCCTCGCCTGGTTCGACGCTTCCTCGGAACTTTATCTCTTTGCTTTTGTAAATCTTTAGTAAATTCATCAGACATCATAGCAAGCTTGGATTTTCTAGATTTTGATGATCTTTCTTCTCTCACATGATGTTTCGATCGAGAAGACCCACGATGTCTTTCTCTAGAACTAAAGTATATAATAATATAAGAAATCATAGAAGATATACAGTATATTTCAATTTTTTATGATTTTGTAGTTCAACAGATGGCACAACCAAGCGTGGTGGAAGAGCTTGATGAAGATTGATTAATTTGTATTCTAACGACAGCAGAGAATAAAGCGTAAAAATGGAAATACATAAATATACATATAATAGCATTATTTAATTTAGGAAATACTTTTCACGATATATGATAAAACAGCATCTACGTCACATATCAAAGTGAATAAAAAAATGATCTACCCAGATTTTAGTTTCATAAGACACTAAAACATATAGATAATAAAACTTTTAACACCAAACGTGTCATCAAAATGACTAACCGGTTATTTGGTGCAACTGAAGTAGGTATAGACGGTGGCGTGCCAGTGCCAGGCGGTGGTGGTAATCCTAAAAATATATATTGATTATTGGAATCACAATATTGTAAATCGTAAGCCACCAGCATTTAGGGCTAAATAATGAACTATTGCTGTTAAATGAATAATTTCTATAGCAAGATTGTAGATGGTTGAACAATCTAGATTTGAACGGGATTCAAAATCAAGCTTACCGTAACCAAACAGCTATATTTCAAGAATTCAGTAAGAATTTGACATATCATAAATACTTATTTTGAATGGTCTAGATCAGCAATGATGTCCAAAACAAATTGAACGTATAAGATTTACTGAATTCTTGATTTACGCAACAACTTAGTATAGTTTTTCATTTGAATCCTTTCATTTTGTGCAACTGAAGTTAGTGTGACACAGTATGACTAAGCTTCCAATTACCGCAATTTCTTAGAACTATAAAAAAAAAATAGATAACTACCGGTAATCAAATAATTGGTCATCTTCCCTTTCCAAGTTTTAACTCATTTATTTCTATATAATTTTTATTTAGTATGACTCAATTTGAAATATATTTAAATTTATTATATATTGGAAAATGTTATTTTAGAATGCATTGGAATGGTATATTTTTCGTTTTCGGCCATTTTTGATCATACTTCAAAATAATTCTAATTGTTGTATGAGACTCAATTTCTTACCTTGGCTATCTATCCCTGCTTGTCCAAGAGGAGATTGTTTAACAAAACCTGGGGGTGGGATGCCTGGTGGAGGAACTCCAGGTGGAGGTGGAAAAGGCAATCGAACACCCTAAACGAAAGAATAACATTGAAAAAAATCACTGATCAATTTGAATAAAAAATTCTTACCGTATGATGTAGTGTACTTACCGGTGGTAACATAGGGGGCGGAATCGACATGTTTCCTGGAGGTCTTGTCATGCCAGGAGGCGGAATCGAAGTAGGAACATTGGGCGGTGGACCGGAAGTACGTAGCACAGGAGGAGGAAGCATACGATGCAAATGACCACCCAAAGGGCCAGCAGGTGGCGGTACACTCATTGCCAAAGACATGGGTGGCATACCAGGTGGTGGGAGTGTCATGGGTCCAGGTATACGTGGTGGAAAGCTGCCTGGAGGTCCTTGAATCATAGGCGGCAGGGCAAGCTGCTGTCCAGGACGTTTTGGAGGGGGCATGTTTAAAGGCGGATCCAGTATAGCAGGATTTAATTCAGGTCTCAATTCCACAGATGGGGCATTTCTAAGGGTAATATTAATACCTTGTGATGAAGGTATAGGAAGTTTGGCAGTTTCCATAGGAGGCATATCATCTAACAAAGAAGGTGGGGGGCGAGGAACAGGGGGTTCTGGTACTGGTTGTTGTTCTGAAACAGGTATAGACGGTGGTGGTAGATGCTTCATGTTCTCTATGAGAGCTGGATCAATCTCAGGTTGTCTAGATGTAGGAGGTGGCAGTGGTGGCGGAGGAGGTGGAGAATCCTCATGCGGTCGCTCAATCATCATGTTCACTGCATTAATCTAGAAATTGTAAATTGATTGTTAACAGATATAATTAACATGGAAAGGTATTGAAAAGTATAGAAATCAATTACCTTCGGCCGCTCTGTTTTGACTGACATCAAGGGTGTAATTCCTGCAACAGTAGCAGGTGATGCTACTCTTGTACTAAAATAAAAAAAATATTACTTTAGAAATGTTATTTGAGAGCAACTTTTCCCAACCGGAGAGGTATTCCTACACAAAAAAGAATTTTGATGTTTTTGAGGAGGAAATATGACTTTGTATTTGGTCTAGTTTCACAAATATTGTATAGTTATTTAGAATTATTGTAACAAGTATTCATGCTATTTTATAAACTATTCAAACTGTGCAAAATCCAGAGTACTAGTTGTGCATAGCACTAGGAAAAATCTATCGAAGATTGAACAAATAACGGAAACAGAGTTTTAATCTATAGCGTGGGAGGAATAATATCCAAAGATGGGAATTTATCAAAAGGTCAGGAATCACTGCTTTAGAGACAAATAGCTTGCAATATATCAATCAAGTAGAAAAAATTCAACAAATAAAAAGAAAAGTTGGAAGTTTGTAGTAATTGATGATAAAAAGGGCCAAATCTGGACAAATTTTGTTCGATAGTGCTAATAGTCATTTGCAACTATACCTAATATAATCTCATATCATAAAGTATAGAAAGTAAAAGATCATAAGTTTCCTAAAAATCATATTCAATGTAGTCATTTGAGAGCATTGTAAAAATCCAAGTGGTAAAAGTTGAGTGACAAAATTAATAAAATAAGCTGTCTATTTTTAACACCCCCATTTTCAGCAGATACAATCAAGCATTCAAATAAGCCCAGAATACTAATTTTTGAATAAGAAACTGATCATTATGCACCGTAATTTCTGCTTCAGACTAATTCTAACTTGAACATCCATAACACAATCATATTTAGCTTGACCGACAGGATTTTACTTGACTTTACCAACAGCCTGTCATGCTGAGCATGATGAAATGGTTAACGCTGCTGATTACCATGTGGGGTTTAAAGGTTCAAAACCTGTGAGAATGATTATGAAGTGTCACTGAATCCCTCATCACCAGTATAATGGTTGACATAACTGATAGTCGAATCTGGCTCCCTCAACCATCTAAGAAAATACAACTCGAACAATGAACTAAATCATTTTCAATCGGTAACCAGGCAAAGGATGCAAGGATATGCCGTAAGAGTTAGCCGTTTTATATCCTTTCACCACTGTGATAAATATAAAAAATCCTCAAGTACACCTATAAGGGCAACTTTTCCGTCTTTTCTCTGTGAACTTGAACCTTGAACTGTTCACAATACTCAAATCATCTTGAATTTCCAATGTTCTAACTGCACTGCGTTGCGGTACAATAGACTCTGGTGATACACCTGGTGGTAAAGGCTGAACAACTGTTGTATCTTCGGGCCTATGTAGAAAAAAGCATTTCAACCCAAAGCTAGCAGATATAATGATTTTTAATACAACTTCACTCAATTCTTATCCAAATTATCTTCTGTAAACTCAATTGGACAATTCATTGACCTTTACTTGCTTAAAACTATGTATACTGTATTTGCTCGTTTAATAGCCCGGGCGCTTATTTTTTTTAAACATACTCACTAACCGGGCCCTTATTCAAACCGGCTCTTTTTCAAGCAGGGGCGCTTGTTATTATTAAAGTAAAATTACACACAAAAATACCGGTAGATAAGATCGATCGTTACAATAATTAATACTGTATATTGTCATTTCCAGTTCTCATGTATGATTTAAACGAGAATAATGAAAATTTTGACTTTTTCTACGCATCGCAGGTACAAATCCGCAAAACGAAAAAAAAAAAACTTTTACACCGGGCGGGTATTCAAGCACCGGCCCTTATTTATTTTTATGTCCTGTTCACACAGGCAACTATTCAAACGGGCCCTTAATCAAGACCGGGCGTTAATAAAACGAGCATTTACAGTATACAAAAAAATCATTCTCAACTAATCTTTTGTACTTTTCGCTCTCGTACAATAACTCATAAACAAATTGTTGAAGTAAATTTTGAATCATTATCTGGGCAAATATATTATCAAATAATTATGACATCTACTGAATTATACAACAAATAATTACCTTTCTTCAGAATCAGGAGTCGAATTCACAGTATACCCATCACTTTGAGGTGTCACATTCGTTGTATGCGGTTGGTCTGGAGTAGCTGGGGAATTTGTAACATCTACTTGCTCCTGTTTCACTACATCTTCAGGAGTTTCTGTTTCTGACTTAACAGGCATAGTAGTAGCGGCAGTAGTTACAACTGGGGTAGATGGTTGCATCATATTTGCTGGTGCTTTTTTAACAGAATATCCCATTGCATTGTACACCTGACCAGTGCGAGCTTTCACAACATAAGCTCCCCCCGTTGATGGCTTTGACTGGCCATATTGTATCTTTGCTTTTGGTGGACCATATGCCACCACCTTGGTTGGTTGAGGCGTGGGAACAGGCTTTGTCTCGACAGCGGCAGGTCTTGGCCAAACAGGAGCATTTTTCTTTCTCGATATGCCAGTCTCATTTCTGAATTTGTTAACAGCCTGGAACAAAAAGTTTGAATAATTTTACGAAATTACATTCTCCATTCTTGTTTAATGACAGTTGTAGATGAGGATGGTTATAATATGGGCAAGATATGTACTACCAATCAAGTACGAAGTTTTATGTGATGACTGATTTTTAAATGATTTCGCAAATGTCCCAAGCACAAATAAATAAAAAAAACGTGATGAAGGTACAGGATCATAAAGTTTGTTATGGAAAATTTAAAACCAAATAAATTGAGTGACGTGGTGATATCAGATGAAAAAAAATTAGACAAATACAACCAAAAGTGAAAAAAAAAGTAGATAGAAAGCGGCAGAGACAGATAAAGTGGGAAAAGAGAGTATACAAAAAAGCAGTCAATACAAGTAGCCAATGATGAAAACTGTCTTTTTACCTGTCTTAGAAATTTATTTGCAATCAAAGAGTCCGGTGATATATTCTTCCTATGGCAGGTTGGACATTCATGATCATCAGATTCCAATAATGCATTCCGAATACCTGTATTCAAAATTATTAATTTTAAATAAACTGCCCCATAACCTCAAAAAGACAAAACAATGAACAAAATTCTCACATTCATCACAATAGCTGTTGCCACAACATGGTATCACCACAGCATCATGCATTATTTCTTTACACAGAAGACAAATTAATTCATCAGGTACTGGTTCATCTTCATCATCTTCTTTTTCATTCACAACCTCGGGTAAAAATGGGGGTTTCTCTTTCTTGCCAACATCGTACCCTTTCCTATGGTCAAAAAGATATATGATTGTTAGTAACATAAAATCGGAAATTAATAAAAAAAATATTTAATGCCATGATATTAACATTGTTATGAATGATGTCGGATACTGTACAATGAAAATCAGTGTCAGATATAAAGTGATGGTTACATATAAATAAACGATATTGAAAGTAGGCTACATATAGGAAGGGAGGGCACATTTTGCGACTCCCGCTTCCGTCCGCTTGGATGGGACAGTTTACGTTCCAGTTGCCTTTGTTTAATCGTATTTAGTGCCCAAATTAACCAAACCAAACTGGTACCAATTCAAATGACCCCCAAATAATCATTTCATCCATCACCAGAGGCAAAAACTACATGGGCAAAGCGGGGGCACCAAATATTTTCATCCCAGGAACTGTTTTTCTATAACAGTAATTACTTTAAATCATGGAGCTTCCTAATTTTCCAATCTTTAAAATGAACTAATAACAAAGGCCCAGAATCTGGGGCTTGAATAGTTTGAATATTATGCTCTTCATCTTATGCAGTGTAGTGAATACGTTTTCCCGATAAAAATAATCAATTCAGCATACACTTGCTCTGCTCGCCCATATCACTAGAAACTTCGATCTTACTTGTCAATAACAGGAACCACATATTGACCATCCGCTGTCAACATAGCACCCCTTGTCTCCTTGTTAACCTGAATCATGTGACTTCTTGGTATTCCAGTGGCAGGACGAAATGGCTTAGGTCGTTCGGCTGCCGGCTAAAGCAACAAGAGTAGAAGTCGAATTTTATTTAAGATTAACATAAACCAACAGCACAACAGTAGGGTAAGTGTAACAATCGATTCCGTACTCACTTTTATCCGACATTGACTAGCATAATGGCCAGATTGATTACATTTGTAGCATTTCACATACGAGGTGAGAGAAGAATGATCATTATATCGTTGATAACTTCCATACTTAGGTGGTCTCAAATATCTGGAAGGTAAAGAAAGACATATAAATACTCAAATTTATTAGAAGCAATATATACTGAAAAATTTCAGGTAAAACAATTATAATTTTCTATCTTATCAAGAGATTTGAGGTAATATAAACGATCAAAACTATCACATTTTGAGATGACACTGACATAGTCAACCGTAGGAAGGTAAAACATCAACTAATCTTAAGATCTGACAATATAATTCCCATTCAACAGTAGCTTTTATAATTTTGTCATAATGGAATTGTGAATAAATATTAACAGAAAACTAAAACTGCACATATAGAGAGAATTCGCCATTGTCAAGACAGTGTGAATCTTAACTTACTTTGATGGGTCATATTCATTAGTTGACTGATCCATCATAGCCTTGATTTTGTCTTGTTCTGATGCATTTGCAGATACCAGGTCCTCTGTCTGTTCCAAGAACAAAATAAAACACAAAATTATACAAATTTATTCTGTCGAAGTGGTCAACATAATATTATCAATAAAAATCTTCACCTTTCGTAATTCTTCAAGAGACATGTAGTGTGAATCCTATTAGAAATAAAAATGGTTATATTAATGAAAATGAGTTCAAAATAAATAACACATATATCCAATCTTTATTGGAGTTTTTCAGGACAAGGAATGAAGCAATGAATATTCATTTTTCTGTTCCACTCTTCCACAAAATCTTCTTTCATCATCTTGAAAAACCACATGTCAGAAAATTTCTTTCTTGAATCTGAATTCTGGAAGACTGCTGTGAAAAACCCTTGCACATATTTTCAAAAATGCTTACCTGCCTTTGAACAAAACTTGCGTTATTAAAAGAAAAAATTTAGCGTTTATAAGTACAGCATTTGAAACCATGACAAAGCAGGTCGTGTTAAGAAATTGAACGAGCAATAGTTCAGTCCGAAATTCATCAGAAACCTCTACTAGCAGAAGCATCTTCTGTCGTTGACAATGTCTATGACAAATCCTGATAAACAACCAATACCAACACATCTAACATTGCTACCATAATTGGTGGCGAAATGTACATGTTTCACTCCACGAAAGCAGAGTTACATCTGTATTATATAGCACAGTGGTTAGATTGACCATTTATCTGACACATAAGATACTATCTATATATGCTTGGCTTTTAAATCTTATATCTTTTCAATAGGAGCAACTATGAGAACTATCAGTAGCAATGATTACGGAATTCAAATACAATTCATCAAATAATGGAGGAAAAAACTTCCAACAAGAAACGATGGGAATACTCTTCTCTTAAATATTATTCAAAGAATTCTGTTGAACATGGGATCACCAATGCCATGAGATTTGTTAGGCTATAGCCTGTGCACAAGTCTTTAAAGAGGCTTCAAAATAGTCAAATCCCGATTGCGACAGTTTTGTTTAAAAAAAACTGTTTAATTTGCGTATTCTTTAATTTATGTGATATGAGCATATTGATTTGTAAATATATCAATTTCTTAATATAAATGAAAATACATCAGATTTGTTGTCTTTCAGTTTAAGGGTGTAAACCAGCGGTGTGCTACCTTTAATACAGGAGGGCCACATACTAATAACAGGATGAAACTGCACGCTGCACCTTCATTTAATATAGGCTTTCTAGAAGTTGATGGCACAAAAATTTTGGGTATTGACCTTTTGATATGCGGACTATGCCTTGCAATGCACAGGGATTTGAATTACTCAAATGTACCAGATTAAACAGACTTAAAAACTCGTTCGCGGCCAGCACACCATTTAAAATTGGCACTGGGTGTGCAAACTGCAGCCCGCGGCCCACGAGGAAAAGTTGTGCGGCCTGCGGACCGCAATTTGCACACCCATGGTATAAACTATCAATTGTGTTTCAGCGACCCTATATTGGGCAAACATAATTAAAAATACTCGAAGAAAATATCAGCTAGTGTGTTTCATCAAATAACTGACATGAAATTTCTTATTGAAAATTAAGATAATATTAACATTTTTGTACAACAGTACACTGAGTAGGACCTTAAAGTCAGTGAAGTGACCCTATACGGGACAAGAGAAGATCTGTACCCAATCACCTAAAATCGGGTTAATGGTAAATCTCCCATGTTTGAGTCGAGAAGCAGAAAAAAAAAGGTTCTCATTATTAAAACAATGTGGACTTGATAATTCCTCAGGAAGATAGCGTAAATAAATTTACTCATTGAACATCTAGCCTAACTGGAGATTTGTTTCATGGTTTGTAGACTTCATAGTGACAAAAGTATCGCATCCGTTCTTGATGTTGATTATCTACAGAATCAAAAACCATGCCTTGCTTGCAGGCAGACACAAGACGTAAGAAAGAGTATAGTGCGTCAAGAAGTTTAGTTTTTCTCATGAGAAACTGGTGAAATATTGCAATAAATAGCCTGTCATTAGAGCCACCTCTGCCAAACAGAAAGTTGCTTTGCCATGAAGAGCAATAAAAGAATCGAAACCAATGAACTATGCTGCCAAGCAAAGGTATCAACCAACAACTCCAGAAAATAATATCAAAAACGACTTTCTTCGAATCCTGAAGAGCTATGCACACCAATTTAAAGAATTGTTTTGTAATAAAAAACATGATACAACATTATCCTCCATCGATCAAATTTTATTGCCGTATCAAACTTCTAAAACTCGAAAAATAACAGTATCATACAGATATAAAGTGGTTAATCTTGCAAATAAATAGCAGTATACAACAAAAGTTAAATTGATCATCAACACCGACAAACTCAATGCAGCGAATAATAACAGTCCTCTTTTTTCACAATTTAAAAATAAAGCAAACTTTTATCATTGCAAATAAGTTTTTAAAGTGGAGTATTTGTATTGCAATTACTAGTATATAGAAAATATTGTTTAATGAGGGGAACAGTGAAATTGGAATGCAAGAATACAGAGCAACATCCTTTAGTTTTAAGATAGCAATCTTAATACTGTAATTATGAATCCGATGCAGAGGCTTACATTTATGTTTTTATCAACGAAGTTTCAAGGTGTGACACAAAAGCAATTGTAAACAAAATCATCTGGCTGTTAATCTAACATTGAAAGAAGTACTAAACAGTTTAAAAATGACCTTTAAATTAGAATTAAAATCCTAATTGAAAAAAATGATTTAGAAATAATGAAAAATAGAAGGGCTATCTACTACTTATTTATGATGCAGTATTGCTAAAATTTATGAATTCCTCAACAAAAAGTCAAGGAATGTACAATTTATAGGAATGTAGGAATTAATAATAGATAAATAGAATACTTTTTATTGATAAAATCAAACAGGTATTGAACCACCTATCACCGTATGTCTAACAAAAGTATTTGAAACAGTATACTGTACTTGAAAATAATCTCCATAACTTAACGCTGACATGAGAGGAATTGAAGTTGCTCTGGAAGCCCAAATTTCAATCGAAATATACCACATAGTTTCTAAGTCAATAGTCATAAAGTCAACATAAAATAATCTAATGAATAAAGATAATTACTACTAACATAAATACTAACTAGTTTTACTACAAAATAAGTTTGCAAATAACTTTGAAAGCAGACAAGATGAAAAAGAATTTTGAGTTTGTCAATCACTAAGATAGATGTGGATAAAGCATTACGGTTTTGAAACGTTTCTTTCCATTTATATATACAACGCACATATGAACAAAACAGGAAATGTTAGTGCTGTTCTGTAAATAACAAACAGAACAGATATTGATAGACACATACAGTAGACATTTAAAATAGATTGCCAGGGGAATCTACGGAACTACATTTTTTTAAACATTTCTGAAGACTAAATTTTGTGTGATAATCATTGTCCTATTTAGAAACATTCATCCTCATGGAAAGATTTGTCAAATCATGGAATAAACTCCTGCAATAATCAAATTAAAAAATACAAGATTCTAGAAAAGGTATATTCATTCATGTATGGGACATCTCAATTAATGTTTTTTTTAAATTATCATGGCAGATAAACGTAAGTTCATGAGTACTGTGAATTAGTTTTCAACATTGGTGCTAATGGTATTGTATTGTGCTTGATTCATTCATAATTGTCTATGCATGCTAGTGATGCTACCACACAAATTGTAAGCTCGCTAGAACTACAATAGAAATTTTAATCAAACAATTTAGAATCATGGAACTGTACAACAATCAAACATAATGCTGCAGAAAAAAGTTAAATGTAACCGTAAATTGTGAATAAAATGAATTAAAATCGGAACAATCACAACATTATTTCAGTGTATCTCTTTTGAGCATAGTGTCAATGCAAATGATATAAATCAGTTTCATTGATTTATTTTCGGTATATTTGCATATTAGCAATAGCTTATCACCAGTCTTTCAGGAGCATGTAGAAGTCAGGAACGTGATGAATAAGACGTTCTTATATTTTACGACAGCTTTTTATATCTTGCGCAACCGATCTATCTAATCTAACTCTGATATGTTCAGTTCAAGTCCATTCTGTATCAAACTCAAAACTAGCCTGTCCTTGTTTTTTCGCGAAGCGTGTATAGATTTAAGTTAACCATTGCATATTTAGTAATAAAATAACAATAATAAATAAAAAAACACAACATTAAAATTGCATGATACCAAAATTTTGCATTGTTGCATAGAACCATTATCACAGTTTAATAGATGAAATAGAAAAAAATATATAAATAGTAAGAAAAAATATATCAAAAAATACAACACTGTGTAGAAATAGAAGTGTTCAAGAAAAGCGAGAATATACTGCATCAGCAAAGCACAGATTTCACGGCAAACATTTTATAACAAAAACAAGGGAAACTTTTTCATAATTTTTGTAAATTAAAATTTCAATAACTGTTGCTTTGCCAATGCTGTACAGAAAGGAATCAAAAGTAATAAGTGTTTTTCACACAACAATAAATTACGTACGGATTTAGAAGATGCAGCAGTCTCATTCTTCTTCCTGAAAACAATAAATTAATAATTAAATAAGGACCATATTACATAATTGATTTATAACTGTTTGTTTTTTTAATTCATATAATTATCCTTGAGGCATGAGAAATTGCATTGATTATTCTTAAATTGACTACATCATATAATAAATGCAGCACGCATTCCTGAAACACAAGAAATCAAAAAGCTGTATACAAATTACCTCTTATAAGAAAACTAATGCCACCACCTGTTTGTGATAGTGTTGGCATGCCATTGACTAAAAACTAAATTACTATCTATTGCAATAACTGAAAAACGTGAGGTTGAAACTATATCACATGCTAATGAATTTTGCACTCCATCATAGCAATACTAAACAAACTGAACTTGCTAATTTAAAAAATTACCACTAAATAGGAACAACATTTAGTCATTCATAAGAAAATATGTATATACCGGTAAGTAATGTTAGTTGACACTTACACAACATAAACCTTTGTTTTGTCAGGTACAGCACCTAATGGAATTCTTCTAACGAGCAATGCAGTGTTCTTTGGTATCAACGCTGACTCATCTTTATAATCTAAAAATACATGAATTTTACATATATATATATACTGTACATCGATGATTTGCTGATGAATACCTGACAACAGTTTCCAGGAAGTAACAAAGGCATCATTAAATTACTGTAAAATTTTGAGTAGAGGTAAGAGAGATTATTCAAATGAAATAAAATTGAATATATGAAATATTCTACATACCAAATGTACTAGTTAATATTACTGTATATGACACATTTATGTAGACATTTAGAATATTCAATAAGATGTTATCAGTGAAATATCAAAAATGTTTTGCAAAATTTCATAACTGTATTTGTATTTTATCATCACATCAACAACTCAAAATTATAACACATACTTCGGAAGTATATCAGTTTTAAAAATTTTGAATAAAAATTTTAATATTTTATAATTTTGCTACCTCACAAACATATCATGCAACTACATCACTGGCCACTGCATTAAATTATCATTTGTTAAAGGTTATTAATTGAATGTCGAATTTAATTCAAACAAAAAGTCGTCAAGTACCACTGGCTCATCACATTTAATCCAATGCACCCACACTCACTAATTCAGATCAGAATTAAACCCTCAAATACTTCGGAATGACAAACATGAATTCAGAGCAAGCTGGAAACCATCAGCTCACCACAATTGGTCGAAGCTCTTATATATTTATAACTCACCAATGCAGGTTAGAAGTAAACACTCAAATACCAAATTTTGATGACATGTTTGCAAATAGCTTTTATTAGCATAATTTTCCATTTTAGTTCTATCATTAGGTAATTTATCATTAGGATTGGCACAATGTGAATAAAATTTAAGTATAAAGAGTCAAGCTTACCTTGTAAGGACTGAGCATTCGTAATTAGCAAATCAACTTCCGTCATCTTCAATTTTTCTTTTAACATTATTGCTTTCTTACAATCTTGGAGTGAAATGTTGATTCCATCGAACGTAACATTCTTGTAATCATTGCTGCTTGAGAACTTATAGTGGATCGCTGACATGTCGATGCTAAATTCAGTTTCTATTACCCAATACAAAAATCAATCGGTATAAATGGTATTCGATTTATTCCATGTATTCTAAAGACAATATTATACATGTTATTATATATACCAGGCAACAAATATACAGATATGATAAGCACCCATCATCCATATCATGAAATATTGCAAATACATTACTTAGGCTACTACCAAATCAAGTCCAGTCATTTCATATTTTAATTTGAAAAAATTTAAACTTTTTATGTGATATTTTATAGCATTGCTCTCAATGAGGCTTTGGCAAAGCATTCACACACAAATAGAAAGGTCTCAACTCCAAATTAAAGAATGGCTAGAATATTTTAGCACATCTAAAGCCAACATATTACAAGATGGTGGGCTTCTAGACTAACCAGGTCTATTCATCATTGGCTTGCTTAGTGAGCATACTCTGATCGAGGCACAAAATACTAGGATGACACACCTCTAACTTTTTTATCCAAAAACAATGATTGAAAATCAAAAAGTAATGCAAATTGAAAACGTTATTTTTTATCATCAGTGCTACATAGAGCCAACACATCTCAATTTAAATAGTATAATAGTGATTAATTCCCAAGATTAGTAAATGGTAAATATATGCACTTCTTTAATATCAGATTTCAAAAATTATCTAAAAAATGGACATATACATTCAATAACCCACACCAAAAGGAATTATTTCAGAACTTTTTCCTTAGTAAATCTGCTTGGAACATGAAAATCATGACGTGTAAACTTTGCCTGACATCAAGATATTTGAAATATTTAAATATATTTTCTATTTTTGTATTATTGCAATGTCTTATCAGATTGAACTATCAAGCAGGAGCATATTGCATTGCCAAACGATCAAAGTCATTTTCTTTTGTATTGAAATCTTTGACAAATTTGTGCTTCCCATGAGAATCTTTCAGTTGCGACAGATAACGATTGGTAACTTCAGGTGGTTTTCCAATCTGTTGCGAAAGCACTATCATATTTATTAGAGTTTCAGCACAGTTGCTGTCTTTATCCATTGCTTGCTGTAAAACACCTTCCGCTTCGTCCCATTTTCCTTGAGCTATGAAGCACACAGCTTGACCATTGAGCAGTAACGTGCTACTTTGATTCTTGTCTGCCATTTCTTGAAAAATATAATAAGCATCTTGTAGTTTTTCCCCTCCTACAGAGATATTGAACCACGCCTGTGCAAGTTGAGTCAAGGTTGAATCTTCATCAGTTTCTTGCATTCGTTTGAGTTCTTTTTTTGCAAGATCGAGTCTGTTTATCGCAATGTAAATTTGAATAGAAAGAGCAGAGCACTCCAATGATTCAGCACTGTGAAGGATTCGCAAGGCTGAGTCAAAGTTTTCCTCGTGTGAATATATACTTGCAGCAATTAGTGGTAAAACGGTGTTTTCAATGTCAATATTCCCAGAAAGTTTATTTTCAACTTCTTTCAAAACTTGGTCCTTGTTTGATGAGTCAGCTAAATACTGAGCGAGAAGTTTAACAGCTTGAAGTTCCGATGATCCCAGACTCGAAATTTCATCTAAAACGACTCCAAACTTTTTCTGAGCAATGTATGCACGATACATAAACACATCTCGCTCATTCTTTTTTACTTGGCTACTCACTTTAGCCTTTTGTGCCTCATTGATACATTGTTGATACAAACCAAGATAGAACGCATTTTTGACATCAAAGAGTTCATCTACTTCAGATTGTTGAGACATTTCAAGTTTTTCTATTAAGAATAAGTAGCTATAATAATTAAACCATTTAATGTCTGTACAGAAAGAAGTGATAAGATATGGAAATTTCATAATAAAATAAAAAACTGTATTTGTCTCTTAAATGAGGGCATCTGGCACGACGGCAGATGCATGGAATTGAACCATGCTTGTTCGTTGTCCCGATAATAATCTAAACTAATCGCCGTCGCCACATGCGTTTTTTGCTATAAACTCTCGAATGCTACAGAAAAAAAATTTCAAGAAATCCAATTGTGACGTTTTCAGATTGCACTTTCTTTTCATTTTTGTGCAGTGCGAGTTTGTTCAGTTTGGAAGCCCAGACGGTCTAGTGAATGGGGTTTACACAGGTTTAATAATAAAAAGATGTAGACTAAATGTTGACAGGTTTCGGAATTATGTAAAATCACAGAACCAAGTTCAGAAGTTTAGGGTGGCTTACCCACTTCGCGGCCACGACCTATTTGCGGCCATCAACTTCATCGATCTAATTGATGCCGAAAAAATTAAAGAACCGCGACGATATTCGTCACGCATTATTGTCCACTTGTCTCTGCGATATTACACTAAAATACGGCCACAAACAGAAAAGCTACGACCGAAGATAAAAACGGACTATTTTTTCATGTCGCCAACTACCCATTGTCCCATTAATGAAACTTGAAAATCCATACAAATATAAGAGATAAAAAATGAAACTTGGCAAGGGGGTAGAGTTGTGTTTTATTTAACCATCTTTTAAATATTTGCGTTTCTGCATTTAAAGGAGGGGGAATAGGGGGGTGCACATTTCAAATAGGTCAATAATATCTTTGTCGACCAATTTGCGACCACCGTGTTTTTGTCTGTTTGATTGGGAGGGGGAATAGGGAGGTGCACATTTCGAATACGTCGATAATATCTTTGTCAACCAATTTTCGACCACCGTGTGTTTGTCTGTTTGATTGCTGTGATGCGGTGCTTTGTATATAATTTGACGAGTTTTGTTCGAAATGACCGTGTTCTTAAAATATATGACGGTCAGAAATGCAATTAGAAGCCCATTTTTTTTCATGCATGGCTGCGCATGCTCTAGTCTCGACGCAGCAGAAACGATGTTCAAAGCTTGAAATTTGTGATCGCACACTGGTCGTTCGGTCGCAAATAGGGTGGTGTAGCCAGTCTGCGGACGATTTCATTCAAACCGCTATAAAACAAAAACCAATATTTCTAACCCCTGGTCGTAGAAAGTTAATTCGAGGTTTAGGGTGGTGTAGCCAGTCTGCGGACGATTTCATTCAAACCACTATAAAACAAAAACCAATATTTCTAACTCGTTAATTTTTTCACCGTAAGTGCTTTGGCATTTATTCTACACGCTGAACTTCGAATTAACTTTCTACGACCAGGGGTTAAAGCTATACAAACCACCAAAGTACGACACTCTGAAGACGTATTTGCGACCGAACGACCAGTGTGCGATCACGGATTTCAAGCCTTGAACATCATTTCTGCTGTGTCGAGACTAGGGCATATGCAGCCATGCGTGAAAAAATGGGCTTCTAATTGCATTTCTGACCGTCATATATTTTAAGAACACGGTTATTTCAAACAAAATTCTTCAAATTATAAACAAAGCACCGCAACACAGCAATCAAACAGACAAAAACACGGTGGTCGCAAATTAGTTGACAAAGATATTATTGACGTATTGGAAATGCGCACCCCCCTACTCCCCCTCCTTTGAAGGTAGAAACGCGAAACTTTAAAGATGGTTAAAAGAAACACAACTCTACCCACCTGCCAAGTTTTATCTCTTTATCTCTTATATTTGTATGGATTTTCAAGCTTTTTTGAGGGAACAATGGGTAGTTGGCGACATGGTAAAATGGTTTTTTTTTTTTTTCGGTCAGGTTTTCGGTCGTAACTTTTTTATTTGTGGCCGCATTTTAGTGTCTTTTCGCAGAGCTACGAGGGATAAGTGGACGATAACGTGTGAGAAATATCGTCGCGGTTCGTTAATTTTTTCGGCATTAATTTAATCGATGAAGTTGATGGTCGCAGATAGGTCATGGCCGCAAAGTGGGTAAGCCACCCTAGCGCGTAGAATACATGCCAATGCACCTACGGTGAAAAAATTAACGGTTAGAAATATTGGTTTTTGTTTTATAGCGGTTTGAATGAAATCGTCCGCGGACTGGCTACACCACCCTACTTCTGTACCGGTATTCCAGTATTTCAAAACGCCCAGACTGGATTCCATGGCAGGTGCACGCCCGAGGGCGCTAGCGCTCCGCAAAAATGCACGCGAGCGAATTCAATTTTGCACGCCGAAAATTTGCAATTGCTCACCAATGTAAATCGGTTTGAATGGTTTTAAAATCAATAATCCAGTACTATAAAGATGCCAAAATAATATAACTCCACAATTATCGACAAATACTAGCTTGCAAGATTTGGTCTAATCGAAAAATTGCGAAGCAAAAAAGACCATATCGTGATGAATGATAGGAAACCCGTGAGAATAGTTATGGACGAAAAGATCGCCTTCGCACCAACTCTGGCCAGGTATGGCTCTGATTCAGCGTATTTTTCATACAATAATTTTACACGAATGTACTGAACAGTACCGGTATCTAAAGTCGCACAAACACTCTCAAAATTAGTGACGAAGTATAGAAATAATGTTTGGGGTCAAAAGTCAAACGTCCATTTTGCTCTAATTTGACGTATTTTTTTATCCATTAATTCTACGTAAAAACACTCCTAAAATTAATGACAAAGCATGTTCATTTTACTCTGGGTCAACGTATTTTATATCCAATAATTTTACGCGGATGTACTGAACAGTACCGGTATCTAAAGTCGCACAAACACTCTCAAAATTAGCGACAAACTGTAGAAATAATGTTGGGGTCAAAGGTCAAACGTCCATTTTTGCTCTGATTCAACGTATTTTTTATCCGATACCGGTAATTTTACGCGGATTTATTGAGACGTATCTAATGTCAAAGTCAGTTGCACGCGGGCGCAGTTGTTTTGCACGCCGTGAGCTATTATTGCACGCCAGGAATTCTTATTTGCACGCTGGAATTTCTGATTGCACGCCCGATTTCTCGTTCAAAAAGGCCATGAAATCCAGACTGGCAAAACGCTAGACCTGATACGAATATTCGAACTGATAACTATAGTTAAAGAGATTTTTCTTCATTTTTCATTCATTTTTTTATTACTACTACCTGACTAGGCCCTACTGTACCGGTACTATCAGACTGTACAAAGGCAATGTTAAAACTTGAGTCACCGTACAGCCGTACCGGTAACGTTAGACCGGTGTCTGTCTGTTAAAAATGCAATAAATCACCCCGGCAGTCACTGATAGATCTATATTTATGAAATAAACACTGCGTTATTCTACTATTGTTGACAGAACTATTTCCATTGCGGAAAATGAGAAACCGGGTACGACCCCAATATTACAAAAATACAGAAATAAAGAACGACACGAAACATTCCATGACGATTGAAGTTCGCTGCACTGCTTTGAGACTAGAATGTCGTCACCACTTATAAAAAATTCGAAACTACACGGAGAAATGTTAGATGAATTCTTTTCGGTATTCTGATGATCACCATACCTCTAATTATTAAATTTTATAATAAAATGTATATTTTTCAATTAATTAATTAAAGAATTTTCAACAAAATAGATTGAATTTTTGACAAAGAGTTCAAGAAAGCAGTAACATTTTCCGCGTAGAACCAGATGTTCTGAGGCGGCGGTCTACGGTGGCTCGGCAGTGTGGCACATCGTGCTAAGCGTTAGGAATACGCTCGCCACCGCATCTGATTAGCCTTCGTGGGATCGCAGGTTCGAATCTCATGCGGGGATGATCATGTGCAAGAGGATTGCTGGACTCCTCGCCGCCGTAGGGTGGTTCACGTAACCGCTGATAGGTTACGGCTTCCGAAAACAAATAACTGGCTAACTAATCCCATACCCGACCTGGACTGGGTAACCAGACGAGAGGCCGTGGTTCGCCATATGATTGAGCCGTCTTATCGGCTTTCCTCTCCCCGGGATAAATATGTAAATCTTATCCAATGTAAAGTTACTATCGATCTCACGCATTGAGGTTATATACACCTCAGTGATCTTACGTCGGAGTCGGACATGTGGTGTCTTGGACCGCTTAGGTGCCGATAATTTCGCGCACGGGGCAATCCAAGAATCAGCATTTGGTTGGAAGAAGACTACAATAAATAAAACTTTGGGCATATATGCAGCACTCTTGAGTGAAAGTACGGGGCGAATGTGTGTTATCTTGTGCTGATGTGTAAATGTGATGCCCAACTCAAGCAAGGTCTGAAGGTAGGTGGTGAACTCAAAAAATGGCGAGCATATCCCGATCAGGAAAGAAGGGAAAGATTTAACAACACTTGTAGCTATTTGTCGTAAGATAGTATTAGCAGGCTAAAGAAGTGGCAGAAAAAGTTCATCGATGCTAAATAAGAAGGGCCAGTAACGTAATTTGAGAAATGAGATAGGGGGGAGAATACAAAGCTCTAGTGGAAAAAGGTAATGCTCTGCGGCGAACTGTGTCAGACGCTCCAGGGGGAGCAAGCATTGTCCTTCGAGAAGACAGACGGCAGCCAGGATGCCCAGGAAAGACTTCGATGGGAAATGGGTGATAAATCGTGCATCACTGGGAGCTCGGAAAAGCCAAGCTGAAATTGAGATGGCGCGAGGCTCAATTTTCCCCATCAGACATGCAACAGGAATATTTTTATTTAAACGACGCACGTTTTACTATTTCATAAATTTATCTCAAGTCGAAATAATTAAATTTGTCGTTCCCAAACACATTTGGTCATTTCATTATAGTTCGCAGTTAAATTTTCTTTGCTGCTGCATTCTTAAATATGAGTACTGCTGCCTTACTCCAAAGTTTGGTGACGTTAACCGATTCGAAATTGTAATATATATATGTCTATTTACTTGCGATGTGAATATTTTTATCTGTCTTAATTTTAAATATCTAATTGAGATATTTTAGGAGTAACTTTCGGCGAGATGATATGACATAGGCCTACCTTATGACGACGTTTTGTTTTTTTGCAGATTTAAGTACTTGCATTCGAAATTCCAGGACAAATAACCTTTCATATATATATATACAGTACAACCTATCTCCCACAGTGAAAACCAGAACAACGATAAAAAAAAAGTTTGCAGATTACATAGTTTAATTCAAATGTTGGAATAATTGGAAATTTTCACACGTCTGAACAAATTTGATCAAAGAGTATATATTTGTCACATATGCAAAATCCGGTTTCATTTCCTCAGGAGTAGCTACCACCGTGCGAGAGATCAACTGAAAATAAAATACAAACTAGATTAAAGCACATCTGAGTTATCACAAACGTCCAGAAATCAAAAAAGTTCATTTCAACCCAGTCCGTTTTTTTCTGTTCCTCGATATATATATCGCATTTGATAATGAATAATAATAATAACTATTTTTTTTTGTAGTTTAATTTTACGACTGAAGTTTCAAACATATACGGTGACGATGCCGATATTACCGAAATTTGAAACATTCTGACAATTTTATTATTCCCAAAATTTCAAGGCTAGTGCGCCATGAAGCAATAAGCTTAACACATCCGACAAAATATCATTTTTTCTTTACTTGAATTTCTAAAATATATATATATGAATAATAAAAAAAACTGCTACCTGCTCCACAATCATCGTAGCATTTTTTGCAATCATATCCACTTGCAGACTTCTCTTCGTTACATGATGGACAGATCTCGTTGTCTCGTACTAGTTCGTCACAACTTGTGGCATACACGTTGTCGTCTACGTAAAGAGAAAAAGTAAGAATCTATAAGTTGTCGTAAACTTGCTGCTATCTTGCACGCGACATTGTGTGACCAATTAAGTTTATTTTTTTGTACTTCATCTTTTTTCACATATCGAATTACTTACCGCAGACTGATTTAATGCACGCTTGACAAGCTCCCGGTTTTGTAGGTTTGCAGCCGTATGATTCGCATTTTTTATGACAGGACATTCCACTCGTCACCTGATCTCCTCCTAGTGCCACGCCCGAATAACCCTGGCTTGATGGCATTGGGATAGGAGGGCCTTGTGTGGAAGGTTTTGCTATAATATTGAATGTAGAAGTATTAGTGTCATTCCAGACTCCGCAAATAATAAGTACTCGCAGTATATTCAAAAAAGTAAGATTTTCACTAATGCAGAATAATGTACCTGGCATGCAACCATCCATGCAGGTGTCGCATTGCTTCTCAGTTTGCGAATGTCTTCTACACGATAAACATGATTCTATTGCTGTTGTTCTGCAGTTTTCATATATGCTGCTCTCTGCAAAAGTTCACAAATTTTTTCCTCATGATAAACTTTCAGAGCTGATAAGACGAGGTCAAACTGGTCACGGGCAATACAGATTGCAAGAAATAACTCAAATCAACTTACCGCAAATTTTGTCAGTACACGCTTGGCACTGTTTTCTGTCTCCGCATTGTGTGTCCGTGCACTTATCTCTGCACATCTTTGCATTCATCATTTTGGTTCTTACTTGCTGCTTTATGACTGTAAGGGTGAATTTAATTTGTTTTTATCGATTTCAGAGCCAACTTTTGTTATATAGTTAGCAACGATGTCGGTTTCTTACCTTCAGGAATACAACTGTCGACGCACGAGTTACATTTCACTCTCTTTGCCATGGTATCTGCATCAAGAGCTTTGCATTCAAAAAATGCGCCGCATTTCTTATGTGCTTCTAGGCGACATTTGTTGTTGTCGAACATTGGAGTTCCTGGTTTCATCGCTAATTAAAATAGAATAGTATAGATTAATATAAACAGGGACAATAAAAGATGTAATTAATTTAAAACTGTCTCAACTTTTTAGAAGCGATTAACTTTTTTGTGATATGGGTGTTTGAAACATTGAAAAGCTTCGGATTAATCATGTTCAATAACCGTGTTAACTTGCAACAAACGAAGTTGCGTGGAGAGCGTCTAATGCCAGTCTTGATATTTCCATACATACATTAGTTGCGAATCAATCGAAAACCACATAATTTATGCAGTGTGTTCTTTATACTCACGGCATAGAGAACTTCTACACAAGCGGCACATTGGCTGAAGTCGTTCGCGGAAGTCACGAGTTCTGTTCTCGTCGTCGCAAGCATCTGACTTCATGCAGTTCACTTCAAGACATTGTGCAGAAGAGAGAGGAAGGAATGGTCGGTCCCTGTCTCCACCAAATAGTCTTCTAATTCCGGGACGTTTCACGTCGGTTCCGGGACGTTTTCCGTCGGGGCCTGGTCCGGGACGGCGAGATCCAAATCCTCCGGGTCTGGGAATGCGTTGTCCGCCTTGGCCTGGCTGGCGACCTCCTGGTCTTTGACCTCGGCCTCCTCTTGCGGATCCAAATAAACGATCATCGTCTTTAAAACATGTATTTTTACAATAATATATATATACACGATATGTTTATAGTGATTAAAAGAGCGATTAAAGTTCTCAAACTTAATCCAGTGGCAAACAAGGGGAAATGTATTATTATTAACAACCAACATTCAAGTCAATTGAATATGCTTTATAAAAATATTAGACACCATGCAGGGTGCTGTTCACTTTCTAAAAAGAAAAAATTAATTAAAGAATCTAATCTGAAACCATACCAAACATTTTCTGCAGTAAACCTAATAAGTTGCTTTGTTGGGTTTAACCAACACAAACTATATTGTTTGTTTCGTTATTTTTTGTCACATTGAAAGCAGATTATTACAAAATAAGTTATTTCTTTACCTGGATCACATTTCCTCAAGCATTGCATACACTCTGGTGCTCGTCGTAAATCGTCACTGCTTGCACACATTGAACATTTTCCAGTAGAGATTGCATTTTGTCTGCAGTTATGTTTATCTGAGCTAGCTGCAAGCATAATGAATAGTTGATTTTTTTTCTTAATTTTGGGGAATCTAATATTCGCATACAATGAAGAAAAATAATAAAGTTTCATCATTGATATTTCATAATCTCGAAATGTCCGATGTTGGGTCTGAAAAATCGATAAATATATTTCTTCGCTGCTAAAAACGTACCTGCTATGACTTTCTTCTACAATATTTTAGCGCATTTACCCCGTACGAGGTTTTCTTTTCTACAAACAGTAACGTATATACAAAGAGCTATATTTTATATCTTGGGGGCAATGCGCGTTTAGGTTGTATAACTGAAACAAACAAACAAAAATAATTCTTACATTCACCACATTCCTTTTGAATACATTCTATACATGATCCGGGAATTTTTTTTGGGCATCCGCTTGTTGCTATACAGTTCGATCTGCAGGCTGCGGCCGCTGTCATTTTCAATCTTAGCTCTTGTTTTACATCTGTAAAATTTAAACTCTTTGTGAACAATTTTTTAATAAAGGCTGGTCACCAATAAGCCGGAGGAATTTAACCTATGACCCAGTCTGAAGTTGTCAAATTATTTTTCACCTTGCTGTATTCTTGACAGTATTGTTTCAGTATGTCATTCATTTTTGATTACCCGTGGCCTTGCAAAAAACCTTGGAATTCGGTATCGATAATTGGTGGCAGAAGTAATATTGTATGACTCAGCCAAACTTTTCCTCACTGCTATTTTTGTGTCTACTTGAACAACGTACTCAGAAAATACTTACTCTCGGTCAAGCAATATTCTCTGCATTTCATACATGAATTACGCTTGGCCTGTAATGCCACGGGGAACGGGTTACATCCGGATGCAACGCCACAGCTCACGCTGTTACGATAGCGACAATCTTCAAGATCAAATACAGTCGTAGAATCAGTCACGGCTTAAAATCAAAAATTGCGATCGGTTAATAACAAGATTAAAGGTATTGCTAGTGAATTCTATGTCAGTTTTTTATGAGTACTGTATCTTTTGAAAATATTCAAAGTGGAGTAAATCTTTTATCCTATATCTTTTATCTGCTTTAACATTGGCGTTATAACACATATTGTATTGAATAAAACTTTTATGATTAATTGACTGCGAACTCAAATTAGAAAAATGATGTAATAAATAGGCAATGCATAATAAAAATTTAATTAGGTGAGGAACCGCAATAAATATAGTACAGCACACTCAGAATTCTAAAACCATGTTTTATTGACCACCCTTACTTACTACACGAAACAAATAACAGCAATGTTTATAGAACAGGGATGGCGAACCTTTTCCAATGAATGGGTCAAAAATTATATTTTTATCGCAGAACAGAAGAGAGTGGGTCACAGATATTTATTCAATGTTTGTATTTATAAAAAAAAAACTTCTGAAACAAATCATGATACAACAGTTCTGTTTGTGTTGGTGTAGTTTAGGGCTTTACCTATACAGCACTTGTGTCAGGGACTTTTTATGGCACTCGATTTTATGAAATTAGAGTACGAAAACACGCATATGAATTACGTTTAGGATGATGTGGCAAATTATTTTACGGTTCCAAAGAATTGCATTGTTATGTCGTAAACGATGTCAGAGCTAATAGCTGAATAAGGGCACACAGCGGTGCAGACATTCGTCCAATATTGGGATTTCTTTCTTAACAGAAGCACTTTTAAAATTTAATGAAATACTCACGACATAATTTGTTGAGACACTGCATGCAATTTCCACCATAATGTTGATGTATTTCGCTTCGTGTTTCCATGTTACAAGTTTCTGAACATCCGTTGGATAAGCACTCTATAACACTTTCAGATAAGTGTCGAATGACTTCCAATGGTCTCATTTCGATTCGTAAATCACTTCGACTACCACGTTCACCATCTCTAGGTGGTCCTCGACGTCCAGAGCCGTCTCCACGGTATCCATCACCTCGATCTCTACCTCTTCCAGAGACGTCCCTTCTGTCACCATCTTGAATGAAACAATTTATTATAAACCACGAAACAGTTTATATTGTGAAAACGGCGCTCCAGAAGTATGTGCACCAAGATGGCGCACAACCTGATAATCCTAACCTGGTACACATACTATGTTCAGGTTGTGTGCCATCTTGGTGCACATACTTCGGAAGCACCGTGAAAACTGCTATCAGTACATGTTACCTGGACCACATGCATCCTTGCATTTACGGCATTTAGCAACAACTTCCAAACTAGTCGGCGCAACATTTGTGTTAAGATTCTTGCATGTGGGACAATTACCAGAACCAAAAGCTTTGTGAACGCATTCGAATGCTCGTCCATCTCCTGCAGAAAAATCATGGAAGATTTCATATAAAATATGTTTCAATATTGAGCAATTCGTATACAATTATTTACAAATTATACAGTATATGACGTCATCCAACTTTTAACTGAAGAGGAGATTGGGTGGAATATCTTGCATCGAGACCCTCAAAGCCTCCTTCGAAAAGGAATTTGGAATCGGGTAACAACAGAGATACAGAAAAAAGTTGGGGAATGTTGGAATCGTGAAATCAATTAAATAGAACATTTTTCTATTTCGACCCACCACATTGCTTCTTCACACATTCCATACAGGATCGTGGTGGCTGTCTTGGGCATCCATGCGTTTTGTCACATGTTTCTCGGCAGCTCTTTCCTTTTTGTGCTCCATCCTTCATTTGTTTCATTCTTTTCTGAATATTTTCTTTTAATTCTTCATGATGTGCATAACAGAAATGAAAATAAATAACTTGAGATTTTCATAATTCATACATTTGACGGAGTCATGGCGAGGCGATACGTAGTAGATTTCTTTCTTTAATTTAAAGCCAGTTCATATCTTATTGTCGTGCAATTCAGGTGCTTTTGAACTGTGATTGCGATATAATCTTAAATATGGAACTGGAATTGCACTAAAAATTACATACATATATTCATGAGTTTGTTACCTTTTGGCAAACAGCCATCTCTGCATTTCAGGCAGTTTGAAAAAAATTGTTGGTCTGCTGTGGTGTATATTGGGCATGATCCCATATTAGCGCACGATAAATATTTCGAAGCCGGGCATTGGTCCTGCATAAAACCAGGAACTTCCTCGTCGTAAGCTGTAATTCAGTGCATACTTTTTTGAAGACTACATTTTGTGTGTTCAAGTTTCACAAACAAAATATGAAATAGTCTAAATAATTAGAAACTAGTAATAAACATCGAAACTATTAGAAAATAGTAAAAGTATGAGATGAATTAAGTGTAGTATACTCACGGCAATGAGAATCCAGGCATGCTTTACAAGTTTGCGTCATTCTAGATTGTGATAAAACATCACACCGTAAGTTTATTGCTGTACATGATCGAAGACAAATTGAAGCTGGAGGTGGAAGAAATCGCAGGACGCCTCCTGGTCCTGGTCCACCTGGAGGAGGACCTCCACCAGGGCGAAAACCACCAAAACGTCCGGGTCCAGGTCTTCTACTAAAGGGTAGAAACTGACCACTGATTCCTTAAAAACAAAATATTTATCGAATTGCAGCATGCATCCACTCAACATATAGTGAAACCTGCAGTGCACTTAAATACATGGTGCCTAATTATTGGGTAGAATAAGTTAATTTAGTTTGTCAACTACCATATTTGAATATTGTCGTTAGCCATGTAAAATCCATACCATGGTAATCGTAAGATGTTTAATAATTTTTACCGATTGCTGCTTGCAATTTGACGAAATAATCAATTTACCTTGTGTTGCCAGAAGAAATACTCCCAGACCTAATATCACGTTCATTTTTCTTTTTGTATTCTCTGTATATTTTAGTATAAATAAAAGTAATATATATATGAATATATGTGTTAAATTTGCCTTCCGGCGTAAGGATCAGTATAGGACACATGAACACTATCAGACTGTATGGCGTTTCGTTTTTTCTTTCCACAGAATGTTGCAAAACTTTGTCTCCAAGCTCAACTCTGGTTGTTATAACTAATGAACGAACAAGTCAGTTTATTTTTGGTTACATAACTTCAAACATGATTTAATGGCGACAATATTGGTCGGGTGGTCGGTTTTGATCAATATTTTACTTCTTTAAATTAAGACAATTCACGGTAAAGGTATTGGCGTACGCTACACGTTCATACTTTTCTGAAACTTTTAAGCGGGAGTGTGAACATATAGTGAGACATACCAGCATATTCTCATTTTATCACCGCCTAAATCTATACACTTTCACACTGAGAGAACTTGTAATTCTACGGACATGCATTGTCACAAGTTGACAATACAAGAATATCTTTCAAACTCGGTGTGACTTTGCTCACTGATTCGTCTGCTTATATACTCAATGTCACTTGAAAAAAGAAAACGATGCGCCCATTATAGAATATACGATTCTATTATTAGCTCAATATTGAAGTTTTTAGTATGTATTCATTTCTTAATAGAATACTACTATGCTTAAACAAGTAGCATGATCGTTTTTCTCAAAGTAACACCGATTACTATTTTAGCAAATGCAGTTTATCTTCTCAGTGACGGCGCTCCGTGACGTAATAACTGCTAAAGCAAACACCAGTTTTCTATTTTTGCTGCAAAGTTACTCGAAACTGATATTTTATTATTTATTTCTAAATAAGCCGAAAAGATTTTTGATAATGGTAGCCCTAAGTTAAATATGTAATCTATTCCGGCAAGCTACTTTAGTTACTAGCATGTTAGCCTACGGCAAAGTTATGTGGTTCACAATAACTTCAAATTTACTGGCAAAATTTGTTTTATTTTGACAAGTAAAGCCAACACGGAATTAGATCAAAGCTCACAATTATTGAGTTCGATAACTCAATGAAATCCATCGATACTCAAATCATAAAGAGTATCGTGGATGGGGTATCGGGTTGTAGCAACATACGCAACTTGGTGGAACCATGCTGGTTACCAGTTCTTGACACAAGAACGAAGGCTCAAGAAAATTGTAGAGATTTGATGAGATACGAAAATTATGTTAATGCTAAAAATACGAATGAACACTTTATGTTATCATGACGTGAACTTTTTAAAACTAGAGTACTGAAGAAGAAGCACGTGATACCCATATATACTGCTATAAATAAGCATCACCTAAATAAATCCGTTTTCAATTCGTAGGCCCCTATTTTTAATTCAAATTAGAGCCCGAGGCTAAATCGTTTAAATAATGAAGGCGCGTAAATCAAACGTGATTTTGAATTCAAATTCAATGTTTAAATATATTTTAGGTTCGTTCCTCCATTGTGTGTTACTGATAGTTTTTAAAACAAAAACGCCTTCCAAGTGCTCAGAACAGACGGTAAAACTACAAAGTGGAGTAGCTGCTGGAGATCCACTGTATGATTTCAGCCATTGGAAGAGGCAGCCATTGCTTTTTTGGGTAGTGTATACTTTTGATATGTCAATATAAAATTCAACTTTATTTACATGCTTCTTGTTTACCAGAGACATGAGAGCTAAGTGGTCGATTAGTTGTGCTATATATTTCAATTTGAAAAACAAGTTTCACTCAAGTTTTCTATCTCCCAGTATATATGCAGAAGCCTGTATTTTATTCCATATGTAGAAAACGGAAAATTTTTCGATACTTTTCCATCACATTTATAGATACGCTTTGAAAGTTGATGACACATTAAAAATAGATGAATTAGGTTGTTACAATACCAAGTGTTAGAAATAAATAAGTTATAAATAAAAATTTGTTTTAGTTGTTTCGCGGTTATTTAATTGTCTCTATAAATTCGATAAGTGATAGGCCGTGTGACGTAATTTTGACGTAGTATCTCGGTAGAGAGACTATCGTAAACATTTCTATAAATAAAAAGCTAAATATACTACATTTCAAAAAATATTTAAAATACGAATTAATTATGCGTTCAACACTCCTAAAGCTGAATTTTATTTACCGGCAAATTAATATTATCAGCCAAAGTGAGAGAGAAGGAAAAAAGTAAATCTAAATTTTAATCAAAAAGTGAGTAAGCTGTTTTATAAATACACATATAAACTAATGTTGCTATAGCTTTGAAAGAAAAAATATTGCCGTAGCCAACCTGATCAATATTGCTTTCACGTAAGCATAACGTCAAATACAGTAACGAATACGTTTTTGTTGAATTAAATCATTGTATTGCTTTCTCAAACTGGAGTTATTTGTATTTTGTGTTATATATATTTGCCGCATTCACTTAGTTCACTCCAGTGTTTAGCAAGTATTAAAACATACTATATATATATGTAAATTTATTTCCATGGCTGACTCGACCGACACCCATACATATATTATCAGCTTTTATACTAGGTTTCGAAAATCGTCTTCGGTAGACTTCAATCGAAAAGGCCTCTTTAGGGCTGGTTAACGGTTGCGATTTATTTTAACCGTTAACTGACATCTCAGGTAATAATCATCTCTATACTGTACAATATCTTTATGAATGATTAGCTCGTCGCAAATTTATCTCCGGGGCGTTCGTTAAATTCAAATCACTAAATCAATTGGTAAGCACCAGGGAAATATAGGTACCAGTATTGCTGATTATGAAAGTGACAAGTTTAGAATCAATTTCCGGTCAGAATACATTGTTCATGATTTTTAGCAAGAGCGTCTATCATTGTCATTCCACAAGTGCGCATTCTGTCGCAGGAATATCAGCATTTCGACATTTTCAGAAAGTAGTGATGAACGCTTTGAATTTACAACATTCTGATGGTACACTAGCAGCAGGTACACATGTAGCGAGTACATAAGGATAGTTACTGTATTTTTTCAATATTTCCACCGCATTGTTAACAGTGCATGTTATTAACCTGAAACAAGGCCGTTGCTCTAATTCATTTTCTTTATGATAAATTTTATCTCGCTCAGTGTTACTTGTCTTGGGTGTCTCCAAAATGTCGTGTCTCACTTGTACCACGTGTCCCACTTGTACCACGTTCTCAACAATGTCCACATGTCGGTCGTTATAGTTAGATGTTGGGTGCTAGATAGCGTCCCCGTAACTTTTTCCCTAGCTCGGGTGTGAATATCATTCGTATTAGCGGTGTACGTTTTCCTGTATGTACTTCACTTTGTATGAATCATTCAGACCCTTTATCAGCTTTTGGAAGCCCTCGCCATCCACCACCGAGAATGGTCTCATATCTATCCATATAAGTCTCGCAACAAGGCCGTCCGAGTCTTATACCAGTGGCGTAGCTCGAGTGTGGTTTTGGGCAACGGCCGGCAACCAACTTGCCTAATGTTAAACAAGTTCATTGACGCCATCTTGTGCCATATTTGGGAAACGCGAAACAATGGAGTCTTATGGAAAATTTTCGTCGTGTTGTTGTACCGAATCGAATAAGTCCGCTGTTATACGGTCTAGAATGAAACTGAGGGGTGGATTTTGAACTTTGAGATATATGCCATCTAAATATATAACGCAATTAGGAATAAAAAACTATCTAGTGCGTTAAATTTGACCACAAACACAGCGTAGAACCATTTTGGGTCATTTTTTCAAAGATTTTATAGTGATGCGCCAATTTGAGGCTGTAAAATGTCTCCGCAACAATCCTACAATGTCATTTGTTTTCCTAGCGCAGCTTGGAGCTGAGCAGTAGGGCATTGTGGAGCTTGACAGACGAAGAACGTTAACAAGAAAATAAAAACGGCCATTGAAGCAAAGTTGGGTCGGCCGGTAATTTCGACGAATAAATACAACTTTTAATCTGTGACGTCATAAGGAACGCCATTGTCAAAAAGTTAATTATGACGATTAGAATGGCTAATTTACTTCTGAAGCAACTCGGAACCGGTATACTTGTCTTCAAAGACAATTTAATGTACTATAAATGTAATTTGGCCAACATGAAAGGATATAAGCATGTGCGGCTAAAATTCTACTTCAAAACGCGACCTTCAAAAATGTTCTACCTAAAATATTAGCGAAAATAATAGGTATGTTTCAATAATTGTGTTGGAACTTCCCATAAGGCGCCGTGTTAAATTACCGAGAACAATAGGCACAAGATGGCGTCCATTGTCGAAGCGTTGCCTCGCTTATGTTATATATACGCTTTGGTTTTGGGGGTCGACCCAACTTTTTGAAATGTAAAAAAAGTAAAAGCATGTTTCTGTATTATACATAGCAATTTTTCGTAGCTTGAAACGCTTTTTAGACCGTCAAGACTCATGAAAATACACATTTTCTGGCGTTCGGCCGGTCTCGTTAGTTGATTTGATCTAACTTGGCAAATAGAAAATTCAGAACCCCCTTTGAAAATGTCTGGCTACGCCCCTGTCGTATACACTCGGATGCTTGCTTGATAGGTTCTGATATCACAATATACTAGGCCAATTTGTACGGAACTGGCGGTCGGTTTATGAACAAACATCAAGCAATACCGGGACAAGATCACGTAAAATCACTTTGAACCATTGTGACGTAACGCGCCTAAATTGTAACTTACTACGTCAACGCTCCGCTGTGGTTAACCGCGGTTAATTTAACTCGGTTTCCCCGAAGTTCCCAGCCCTATCTATGATACCTCATCTTACACTTTGTTGATATTGCCTGTGAGTGCGCACCCTTTAATGAGTTATTTTCATCGATTCCACGAAAACGCTTCTATTGTGGGTTGAATAATGATTCCTCGGCAGCGAGGGAGTTTTTAGGTTTCGTCATATCGTCCTACAACATATTCTTTCAAGTGCAGTCATAAAATTGGTTCTGGGAATGGTAATCGACACCTTATCAGCGCCTGTATATTTATGTTATCTTTTGTATTTCTGTCGATTATCACTTTATCTTGATCTATTTATGAATTAGGTAAGATACATCGGCAAGGCTTCAATACTATAGTCCTACAACATCCGACTTAGCAATGTCTTAAGTCCAGTAGCTGGGTGGTTTAAGTATCATTGCAACGTCTTTACTTCTGGCTCTCTAGTATGGGCAAATTAACCCGTTGAAATTCACCCTACTAGATCTTCTCATAGCAAATTTCTGCGGGTATTATTCAACTCCTAATTGGGATTTAGACGTTAATGAGAGGGACTCGTCCAAAGTTATTGCTAATGATGCCTGACTTGAACATCCCTAAACTTACTACCGTTATTCACAATGAAACCATAATCTGGAATTTATCTTCTAACATTAAAACTAGCCTATTGTTGAGTAAAGCGATGTGCCTACATTTTAAAATAAAGTTGTTTCTAAAAATCGAACTACGAAGATCGGGA